AATATGTACATATAGGATGTCTTTTGCCAGTTCACACAACAGTGCCTCAATAATTTCACCTTGTCTGTATCGGCCTTGCAGATGTTTCGTTGTTCAACAATCCTCAAGAGGGATTGCTCTATACCGTCCAAGATTAGTAAGTAAGGGGACATGTGTGTTAAGTCGAGCCTTGCCTGGCTGTCATTATTTGCGGATTAGTGATGGCCTGTACCCTCTTTGATGTGGACATCTTTCACACTTCCGTCCTATTGAGCTCTAAAGACGCGGTAAGGGGAACAGAGAGGACAACAATGAATTGGAGAAGAACACACATAAGCAGGAGTCATTTTCCGCTTTGTCTCGAGCTGCAGGAAAACTTCCTATAATGAGGAAGATAAAACGTCACCACAATTACCACTGCACATATGAACAATCACCTGAGAGAGGCCCCACACACATGCAAATGCGCATTTGCTCACATGCATAGAACATACATAAATGTATTTCTACACTGTACACACTCAAATGATTTCACACAGGCACACACACACAACAGAGACTTTATGATAATGTGTGTTTTACTGCCCTCTGCAGGACAGACAGGAAATGAACATCCCATCTTTTTGTTGAACATTGTGTACCCTTTAGATGTCACAAGTGGTATCTTTAACTACAGCAGTACAGTAAATGCCCATGCATAGGTTTCTGGTCTTAGTTTAAGACATTGATTTTCATAAGTGGATTCTTTTTTCGCAAAGGCAGCATATCTGTGCATGGGCAGCTAGCTTGTGGCTGAGTGGAGCCCCCTTACAGAGGCAAACACAAGGCCTCTTTCAGGCAGAGTGACTCCAGAGGTATATGAGGACACTCAGTGTTCCACCCCGACCACAGGATTTATTTACCTTCCAGTAAGGGGCAGCCAGTAAGACGAGATGGAGTGTGCTTAAAGAAAAGATAGGTGTGTGTGTGTGTCTGTGTGTTTGCTCGAGGGGTGGAGAGCTGGAATGAAATAGCATAGGGATTGTGGGGCACTAGATAACTTAAGATATAAAGTGGATGTCATGATCCCAGAAAAAAGGTGTTTCAAAAGCAGACACACCCAAAGCATACACAAAAAACATTCCACTTTGGGTGGAAAGAAAAAAATATTTTTCCAAAACAATAATTACCTATCCAAACCACCTACTGTGAGACGACTGTGGATGTTTAAGAGAGGAGGAACATGGATGAGAGCCAAAAAAGCTCGATAAGGGGGAGTGGGTTTCCTGTTTCCTCAACCCCTCCTTTCCCTTCCCTTATATAGCACAAGTGGAGTCATTGAATGTAGACACTGCGTGCATCTGTTAGTGACTTAGTGTAGTAGTTTTATGGCATGACAGGTCTAAACCAGTGTCACCCTTGAAGCAAAGAGTGCCAAATTGTACTAAAGTGAGGTAGTCATATCTATAAGGGGCAGCAGAACTGTTCACTTATTCATCAGTTGATTTTACATAGAGTACAAACGTAGTTTAGTAGCCACACAATTATTGGTGTGTGTTTTCAAACAAGATAAATGCATTCTGGAAAATTCCAACCTTCTTTCAATAAAACATGATTTCAGCGTGGACTACACCATGATTATTAAGTTCCAATTATAGAACAACTAAAATTGGTGGAAGACATATTATTTGAAGAACACTCGATGATCATTTGTGTGTCAATAACTCACCTAGTGTTGCTTTTGAATTCGTGAAGACAACTTGGTTTTTCCTGGCATGCCATCGCGGTTAATGAAGTATCAAAACACGGCCAATTGTTGATAAATTGAATTTCAGGAGGGCTGTTTAACATCAGCAATACTATATACAAACGTCCATTTTCAACTTTCACACGAATCGGGCAGTGTATTCCTATTCTAATATATACAGTCGTATACTTATAACTTCCACAAATACATTTTCGCCGAAACCTTACTATTTTTGAAACACTTCCGCATAAATAGACACGTGCCTGCGCAGACGCAGAAGTCGTCCGAAGAACAATCTTGACGCCGTTTTCGTGAAAGTCTCATGACCAAATTGCTCAAATGTATGTCATGGGGACAATATGGGCAGGTTTGTTAAATCAGTAAGAATCAAGATTGATCCACATGATCATATAATTCATAGAGAAGAGGGCCTCCAATATTAATACATGTAGGCTACATTATATAGTTTAAACACACGGAATAGATTAGAAAGAATAAAACCTTTGGATGTAGACATTTCAATTTAGCTAAAATTCAATTTATAGCATTGGCAAAAAATCAATTATTTATTTATTTTTTGCAAAATGTGATGTTTGAAGCATAGCCTATATATATATATTGGTTTGAAGTGATCAATTATTAGTCAATAAATATAAGTAGAGCCCAACTTCAATCTGTGATCACGACTTTCACTCCCATTTTTTAAATTAGTAACACTAAGACATAATGGATGTTAGTGAACTTTACATTTACATCATGGACGTTGTTACTACGTTATGAAAAACCAAGTTAAGGTTTCATCTGATTGTAATACTGCTCTTTTGTATTTGTTGTTGTTGAAATGTATTAAATGCATGGATGTAGTTGGGTATGTCCAGTTCAGCTTTTTGTTCAACAAAAGTTTTACCAATGGAAACTGAGCGAATAGGTCATCATCATTTAGAATCCTTCAAACTACTTCCACTTAGTGTGACATTTACATAGCCTTTTTAAAAAATCATAATTTGCTTCTTATAAACTTAAAAAACTCAGTGCTCTACACAGCACCACTTGCGGTTAAAAACAACAGGAAAATTGAGACTTGGGCCTCTCTCTTATCACCAGGACTTTTCTTAATTTTCCGGATGGCAACATCTGCTATGTTGCTATGGGAATATTCAGCATCAGGGAAACAATCTAGGGTAAAATCAGCTTGACCAACAGCTGTGAACTCTGAAGTGCTTTCTCTCAGTTTGGGCGTTAAACAGACAGAAAGAATGCAGACATGAATGGGCTCCCTGTTTCTGCCTTTTTTCTCCGGTTATTCCCACTCCGCCTTTCATGGATCCCTGGCAACCGCATGCATGCATTTGGATGTGGAGCTAGACTTGGAGAATTCAAGTGAGTCAACAAACCCACCTACATCAATGCTCGTTTCATCCACGTAAAATGGTGAAATTATACAGTATATGACACTAGATCTTCAGGATACCGAATAAAATGCATTACATGTAAATGTATACACTAATGGAACAACATCAGCAGCATTGACCCCTTATGTTTAAACAAACAAAAAGTAAATTTCTAAAGACATCATTTGGTTATTAATAGGTCTATAAAACGGCTCCCTTAGCGTGACCAGAAATAGACAAAACTCCGATAATTAAACAAAAATTACTGACAACAAATTCAAAGATCTATGGACACTGGATGTAGCAACAATAAATATTAGCTTTACACCTCAATAAAGGTTTAAGTTCCTCTGTGAACATAGCTGGTGGATCGACCATGTACTGTAGGTGGGTTACTTTAGGTATTTTAGTGTGCTCGCTGGATACTTATAACGGTAGATGCAACATGTTGTTTTATTTGTATTTAAAAAAGCTATAACCATAACACTTCATTATGTAATCCTTCAATTGATAGCACTGTGTTGCTTTTTTGTAGGCCTATTGGTCACTAACTGCACATCCAGACCAGGATTGTCCTCTCACCTCGCTCTTTAACCTCTGACTAAGAGACCATAAACATTTACAACATGCTTGTTTTCCAGGGTGTCACCTCTAGACACAACAGCAACATCTGATTGATCATCAGCATTATTTTGGATCCTTGAAGAAAGGAGTGAGAAATCATCTTATTTTGACAGAAGCAGCACTTGCACATGAAAGAACATAATGATGTCTCTATTGCTTCAAACCATTTTACAACAAGAAATAACTTTAATCACTTTTTCAATAGAAGAAACTCTGCCATTTACATGTGTGTGATACATTTCTACATGCTTAAACATAATCTGTGCTTTCTTCTGCATCAGCAATATGACTGTAACTTAGATGTAATACACAGACAGCAATTTATTATAGAAAATCACAAATTTGACATCCTATGACACTGCTTTTCTTCCAGAGGCAGACTTGCTCTGCTATAAGTCACAGAAATAAGGCCTTGTGACTTGACTCCAGTTTTGACTTAGTAAAATCAAGCGTTGCTTAGCCACACCACTTGAACACGTATTTGTAAGGCCAAGCTTTATGCAAAAATCCCCATTAAGAGCTTTAGAAGAAACATTTTCAAATATGGCATTTTATTTTTCCCTTCTGCCTCACAACCCTGATCAATAGGTGTTACTTTTCTTTTAAGATACTCAGACTTGCATCAAGACTTGCTTGGACAAGAATTAAGACTTGACTCATAATTGCTACTATACTACTATGCTATTGCTGTTCTAATCATTTTCTTCACCATGAACATTCTTTATTCAAGTAGACACGTTCTAAATGAAGGAAGGACTTACTGTTTTAAGGACTGTAAAACATAAACAGTCACACATAATTATAATGCCACTCTTGGTATCTGAAGTAGTTGAATAGACTGACTGCGTCCATTATCTCAGCTGCTCTTGGTATTTCACAGTATTCCCTTTTGATAAAAAAAAACTTGCAGTAGTGACTCTGTTCAACTTGAGGCCTGCCTCTCTGTACATATGTGTATGTAATGTATTCATAGTTATGTTTTAAACAGTAAGTTAGTATGAGCACCCTTCTATATGTACCTCTAATGCATATCCCTTTCCATGAGCAGCACAGCAGTTTCAGCCGTGCCTCAGCCAAGCAGAACACAATGCTACCATTGAGCTAGAGCCACAGTGGATACCTTTATATACCATCAAGAGTGACAGTTCACACAGCAGTACCTGGGTTTCACTTAAAGTAAAAGGCCACCTTAAAACAGTTACAATTTTATATTTTTGTTGTGACCATAACCGTTAACACACATTAAACTCACGACTAAAAAGCCTTTCGACTTTTGCAGGTTTTATTCATTCTGGTGATTTTATTTCTCTGATTTGTAAAGTAATTAAAACATCTCTTTGCACAAGAATGTTCCCTGTGACACATAGGATATCAGTGCAGGAGCTGCTTCGGTTAAATAATACCTAAACTGTGTCCTTAGAGGATAGGAGGCAGCACTGGAAAATGCATTACTGCTGTGGATACTTTCTTTTGGGAAAAACTACACTCGGTTGTTAAAGACACATGTTGGTATCTGAAGTAAGATATCAATATATCTACTAATTTTATCTCACCTAATGAGTTTTATATATCCATCTAGATTAGCTTCTTCATTATGATATATTGAGAATTGCTTTAAATGGCATTTGGTTAATTACATCTAAGACCATACTGTACTTGCACACAGAGTACTTTTTGTGGAGATGTATCAATACTCCTTGTGAAGACACCACAAAATGCCACATTCATTTCACCTGAGTCGGATATGTAAAGCTCTATTAAAGCACACCAGGTCTAAACTAAAGTGATCTATCAGTTGATATATATCAAAATATACATTGAACTAGACAAATGTAAGCACTAGCGTCATGAACGATGAACAGAAACAACTTATTTCTCAGACACACACACAAAGTTAACACACATCACCATCATTTCACTTTTGTAGATGATCAACTATCAATCAAATATTACATAATAATCCCTTTCAAGTCAGGCTTGACATCTAAGCCTTTTTTTTAATTTAAAACTACATTTAAAGCGTCAAGTAAAGCTTAAATACCAGGCCTCTCAGTGAACGCAGAACACAAATAAATACTTCTCTTTCTTAAGTGGCTCTTCATTTGTATCAATGAGGCACATCATTGGTGAGAGTGAATATTATTGTATGGCCAATAGCTTACTGTCCCAAGTAAAACATGTTGTGTCTCCTGGCACCTTTGCATACTAGTTTTGGTCTGTGCAATAATGTCTTTTCCTGGTTTGGATCCATTGCATGAAATGTTTTCCAGATTCTCAGCTTCATTTTTTACCTCTGAATTAAAGAAAGAGCTTCTCTTCGAGTAAACTGATGGATTTATTCATCAGTGTCTTTTCATCATCCACAAACCTGTATCCAAACAGCTCCATTGTGGGTCCACACACCCTCTGCACTACCTGAGCCAGTGTGAAGGGAATGCTGAATCTCCATTTCTCTGCCTGCTCTGATGAGTTCTTCTGGGTGGAATAAATCCCGCTAGCTTCCTGCATGGTCTGTGTGTTCCTCAGGATCCACTCCCGAGCTTGGGGACTGAATGGTATCCCTGTGAACCTGTACATCTCCTCTGCCTTCTGCATGGGGTAGCGGGCAATATCCTCATAGCGCACCAACATGTAGCGTCTCCTCAGCCAGCGAGGTTGGCTCAGTCCCACCTCTGCTGACATCCTAATCTGGTCGCAGTTTGCTTTGAGCCTCTTTACCTCCTCGTCATCTTCGGGCACCTGGCCGTCCTGCGCCCAGGTCTTCCACGTCTGGTACTTCGAAGAGAAAGCCACCATGCGTGATGCTAAGATGGCCCGTGGATCTCGGACAAGCTGGATAATTCTAACGTCCAGACGGCGATCCTCCACTAAAGGCTGCAACGTGTCCAGCTGGCGCACACGGACAGTCTTAACGGCGTGGTGCTGCTTCGAAAGGCAGGAATCAGTTGCAAGGGTCAAGTTCAGCGGCCCACAGCGACGAGTCTTACAGTGAAACCTAAAAAAATAAGGAAGTGGTAGAGATTTGTATGATAACATATTTTTCTATGGTTGCAAAGAGAGAGGATTTTTTTCAGGTGACTAGGTTTACACTTACATGGTATGATATGATAAGCATGATTAAGAATGCGCATGGAACTCTGTTGGCTGAATTTGTAAGTATAAAAGATGATCAATGATTCTTTAAAATAAGATCAAAGGTACAAGACAGTGGACATAAAAAGGTGAAGGGGTGAGGTCAACCACTAAAAGGACTCACTAAAATGATGTATTTAAGTGTCTTGTTTTGCAAAACATTACAAGAGTATTGTACATGCAACTACTATGTACAAACTTAAATACATTCAAAGTCAATATTCAGTGAATTCAGCAACTATTGTGCTTTGTTCCAAATGTAGGGATCATACGTCGTATTTAGAGCAATTCATTTACCAAATTGAAGAAAACAAATAAATTCAAGTCAGGGGTAACATAACATAACCTATAATCATTTTCATCCATCCATCCATCCATCTTCTCCCGCTTATCCGTGGTCGGGTCGCGGGGGTAGCATTTCCAGCAGAGAGCCCCAAACTTTCTTTTCCCTGGCGACATCAACCAGCTCTGACTGGGGGATCCCAAGGCGCTCCCAGGCCAGCGAAGAGATATAATCCCTCCACCTGGTCCTAGGTCTACCCCTTGGTCTCTTCCCAGCTGGACGTGCCTGGAACACCTCCCTAGGGAGGCGCCCAGGTGGCATCCTAACTAGGTGCCCGAACCACCTCAACTGGCTCCTTTCGACGCGAAGGAGGAGCGGCTCAACTCCGAGTCCCTCCCTGATGACCGAACTTCTCACCTTATCCCTAAGGGAGACACCAGCCACCCTGCGGAGAAAACCCATCTCGGCCGCTTGTATCCGCGATCTCGTTCTTTCGGTCATGACCCATCCTTCATGACCATAGGTGAGGGTAGGAACGAAAATGGCCCGGTAGACAGAGAGCTTTGCCTTCTGGCTCAGCTCCCTTTTCGTCACAACGGTGCGGTAAAGCGACTGCAGTACCGCTCCCGCTGCTCCGATTCTCCGGCCCATCTCACGCTCCATTGTTCCCTCACTCGAGAACAAGACCCCGAGATACTTGAACTCCTTCACTTGGGGTAAGGACTCATTCCCTACTTGAAGTGGACAGTCCATCGGTTTCCTGCTGAGAACCATGGCCTCAGATTTGGAGGTGCTGATCCTCATCCCAGCCGCTTCACACTCGGTTGCGAACCGATCCAGTGAGTGCTGAAGGTCGCAGACCGATGAAGCCATTAGAATCACATCATCTGCAAAAAGCAGTGTTGCAATCCTTAGTCCACCGAACTGCAGACCCCCTCCCCCATGACTACGCCTCGAAATCCGATCCATGTATATTACAAACAGGATTGGTGACAAAGCGCAGCCCTGGCGGAGGCCAACCCTCACCGGAAATGGGTCCGACTTACTGCCGAGGACCCGGACACAGCTCTCGCTTTGGGAGTACAGAGATTGGATGGCCCTGAGTAGAGACCCCCTCACCCCATACTCCCGCAGCACCTCCCACAGTAACTCCCTGGGAACTCGGTCATACGCCTTCTCCAAGTCTACAAAACACATGTAGACCGGATAAGTGTACTCCCAGGCCCCCTCCAGGATCCTTGCGAGAGTAAAAAGCTGATCCGTCGTTCCACGACCAGGACGGAATCCGCATTGTTCCTCCTCAATCTGAGGTTCGACAATCGGCCTGACCCTCCTTTCGAGTACCTTAGAGTAAACTTTCCCGGGAAGGCTGAGTAGTGTGATGCCTCTGTAATTGGCACACACCCTCTGATCCCCCTTTTTAAAAAGGGGAACCACCACCCCGGTCTGCCACTCCTTCGGTACCGTTTCCGACTTCCACGCAACGTTGATGAGACGTGTCAACCATGACAGTCCCTCAACACCCAGAGCCTTCAGCATTTCTGGGCGGATCTCATCCACCCCCGGGGCTTTGCCACTGTGGAGTTGTTTGACGACCTCAGTGACCTCCCCCCGGGAGATTGGTGTTGATCCCCCGTCATACTCCAGCTCTGCCTCTAACATAGAGGGCGGAGTTGTCGGGTTCAGGAGTTCCTCAAAGTGTTCCTTCCAACGCCCTAACACTCCATCAGTTGAGGTCAACAACGTCCCATCCTTACTGTACACAGCTTGGATGGTTCCCTGCTTCCCCCTCCTGAGGTGTCGGACAGTTTTCCAGAACAACTTTGGTGCCGCCCGAAAGTCCTTCTCCATGTCTTCTCCGAACTTCTCCCACACCCGCTGCTTTGCCTCGGCCACGGATGAGGCTGCTGCCCTTCGGGCCTGTCGGTACCTTGCAACTGCCTCGGGAGTCCCCCGGGATAACAAATCCCTGAAGGCCTCCTTCTTCAGTCGGACGGCTTCCCTGACCACCGGCGTCCACCAGGAGGTTCGAGGGTTACCGCCCCTTGAGGCACCTAGGACCTTGAGACCACAGCTCCCCGCCGCGGCTTCGGCAATAGAGGCTTTGAACACCGACCACTCTGGTTCAATGTCCCCAACCTCCACAGGAATGCCCGAAAAGCTCCGCCGGAGGTGTGAGTTGAAGGCCTCCTCCAGACGTTCCCAGTTCACCCGAACTACACGTTTGGGCTTACCAGGTCTATCCAGAGGCTTCCCCCGCCACTCGACCCAACTCACCACCAGATGGTGATCAGTTGACAACTCCGCCCCTCTCTTTACCCGAGTGTCCAAAACATACGGCCTCAGGTCCGATGATACGATAACGAAATCGTTCATGGACCTTCTGCCTAGGGTGCTCTGGTACCACGTACACTTATGAGCATCCTTATGTTCGAACATGTTGTTTGTTATGGCCAATCCATGACTAGCACAGAAGTCCAGTAACAAACCACCACTCCGGTTCAGATCAGGGGGGCCATTCCTCCCAATCACGCCCCTCCAAGTGTCTCCATCATTGCCCACATGTGTGTTGAAGTCTCCCAGCAAGATGAAAGAGTCCCCTTCAGGAGCCCCATACAGGACTCTTTCCAGGGTCTCCAAGAAGGCCGTATACTCTGAACTGCTGTTGGGTGCATAAGCACACACAACAGTCAGAGTTTTCCCCCCCATAACCCGCAGGCGTAGGGATGCGACCCTCTCGTCCACTGGGGTAAACTCCAACAACGAAGCACCTAACCGGGGACTTGTGAGTATCCCCACACCCGCCCGGCGCCTCACACCTTGAGCAACTCCGGAGAAGAATAGAGTCCAACCCCTATCCAGAAGTAAGGTTCCAGAGCCGACGCTGTGCGTAGAGGTGAGCCCAACCAGATCCAACTGGTAACGCTCCACCTCCCGCACAAGCTCCGGCTCCTTCCCCCCCAGAGAGGTGACGTTCCACGTCCCCAAAGCCAGCTTCTGTCGCCCGGGTCTGGTCCGTCGAGACCCTCCGCTTTCACTGCCACCCTTCTGGCAGCGCACCCGACCCCATCGATGTTTCCCGTAGGTGGTGGGCCCGCGGGACGGAGAAGCGGAGGTGTTGCCGACGTTGCCTTTTCGGGCTGGGCCCGGCCGGGCTCCGTGGCAAGCCCGGCCACCAGACGCTCGCCGACGAGTCCTCCTTCTGGGCCTGGCTCCAGAAGGGGACCCCGGGCTTCCTCCGGGCCGGGTATCCTCACTTCTTGTGTCGTCTTTCATGAGGTCTTTTGAACAATGAATCAATTTTGAATAATCATTTTACAGTATCTAAATCTAAACTTAAAACTAAACTAATGCCGACAGTGTTAAATAAAATACTGCCCCTCCCCCTTTGCAACTGTGTTACAGTTCAATGTTGGTTCCTTTTCAAAATTCAACCAATATCGTAAGCTTGATCAAAACAGTGAATATCAAGAGGATATACAATACCTTTCAAAAACATATTTGACTACAGGACTGCAGACAGATTCTTCACAGAGGGATAAACTAGACTCTCTGCGGAAAAGAGCCGGGGTGACGTGGTCCTTAGGTGGGGGGGCGATGTACTTCTCAAGGAGAGAGAAATCACACAGGAAGAGCCCCTGGAGCACATCCCGGTAGATTCCTGACAACACTGTCCCGTTGTTTGACTCTGAGGCCGTGGTCAGCATGCGCTCGACGTGCCACAAAGGCTCAAACAGGTAGAACATGTCCTCCCCGTGTTGGTTGAAAAGTTCCCCAACAAATGAGGAACCTGTCCGTGTTGTAGCCAAGAGTAATATGTGCTTACGGCCACCGCTGAAGCTGTACGTGCCTAAATCATCTAGTTCTTCCTCTTCTTGCTCCTCAGAGAGACTTGAGTTGTACCCAACTGTACCGATGAGTTTAGAGAGCAGCATTTTCAGCATCATCAGGGAGCCATTTTGTGTTATGTTGCTATAATCCAGTGGAGGCTGTGGGGTCTGCTGTGGGGCCTGCCTCTGGATCAGTTTATCAGAGAATCTGTTGAGACAGAAACGCCTGATAAGTATAAACACATAAGATATGTCTTATATTTAGCTGACACATACAGTACATGAAGCCACCGTATGTTTGACTCATAGCAGGAGAATCACAACATTGGTCTAAACACACGTGAAAAGAATAGTTTGATATTATGGGAAACACATTTGTTTGCTTTCTTTTTGAGAGTTATATGTGAAGATCACTATCATGTCTGTGCATTTCATTCAAAGCTACAGGCAGTGGTCAGTTAGCTTAGCTTAGCATAAATAATGTAAACAGGTGGGAGCTGTTAGCCAGGCTTTGTCCAGAAGTAATACAAATATTGCTCATCTCTCAGAGACAGTTCAGAACAACAACCAGTATAGCGTGTAATTTTAACATTTAGTATTGTACTAAACAAAGAAACAAGGAAGCTGTAACATGTTAATCAGTGAGCTCTAGAAGTGTCCGATAAAGTTCTTACATTACAGATTACTGACTCTTTTTTCTCTTACCTTGACAGGATGTTGCTTTCCTTTTCAATGATGACCAGGGCCACGATACAGATGAAGACAATTGCATATTTGGTCTTCATTCTTGAGTTCTGGCTTTGTAATTGGACGTCTAGAGTATAGTCTGTGTGTTGCTCATAGCTTGTCAGGCTAAAGCTTCATTCTGCAAAAAGAAAAAGGCACTTTAGTTAAGGCAGAGTTTGCAAAACAGATGTGATTCTTGGTTTATAATGACATATATCATAATCATGGGTATATATATATATACAGCTGAATATGAAGACAAAAACAATGTAATTTCATGAAATCATACAACAATCATGTTGGATTATGCTTTAGACATAACAAAAAGTATAAGAGAAATACAAAACAGACAACTAAATTCAGACATAAATTCAGCTAGTGTGTATTTAAAACCATCCTTTGCTTTTATCAGAATCCTGAGAAATGTTGAGCAGTTTATACAATGCAAAGCTTTTTTAAACTTGGTCGCCTCATTTCTTAGAAACCTCAAAAAAGAGTGTTTCTTTTTGGTGGGGCTGGGGTCAGGAATAAAGAAGAAGACGGATTGAGAGTGAGGGAGTTAATGTAAACAGTGCAGGTTTCACCGACAGCAAACACAGTGGAACTCTTTCACATGGCAGAGGACAGAGCCGCTGTATATTTAACATGAAGCAATTTCAAGAAGTGGGTGTGATAATAAATTGCTCCATCTTCCAGGTAAATTCATCAGTATCATTTTTGTGAAGTTTGTGTTAGGATCTGTCTGTGTTGTAGTTTTGTATGTCTGGTTATGGGTATTTTCATCCTTGTATATTGTCTGGTCCTTCTTCCTGTGTTTTTCCTCCCGTCGTTAGTTTCCCTGGTGTGTCTAGTTGTCTGATTGTTTTCACCTGTGGCCCTTGTGTTTCTCCTCCCCTGCCCGGCTGTGTCTCGTCTTGTGATTACCACTTCCTGTATTTAGTCTTGTCTCTTCCTGTGTTCAGTGTCGGTTCGTCTTGTGTTTTGAGTAAACTGCGGTGAGTGTTCTGTTCTGTCTCTGTTTATGGTATATTTGTAGCCTTGAAATAAAGGAGTTATTTTCGTTATATCTGCATTTGGGTCCTGATTCCTGCACACCGTAACAGTTTGTCCACATTGTGAAGTCACCATCAAGCGCAAGCCTCAACATGTTGACTGGGATATGATTTCCTGATAAAAAAGTGTATAAGGAAAGAGATCTAAGGAAAGTCAGAGCTTGACAGTATCATAACTAAATCATCATCAACTGTAGTAGCATCATTCCAATCCTTTGGGTGTATATGGGAGGCTGTGGCTCAGTGGCTGTGTGCTGGACTTCGAATCAGGGGATAGCAAGTTCGAGTCCCACTGCAGTCAGCATGTCGTTGTGTCCTTGGGCAAGACACTTCACCCCAATTTGCTCCTGTGGGGATTGTCCACAGTATTGAGTATGTAAGTAGTCGCTTTGGATAAAAGTGTCTAACAAGTGACATGTAATGTATTGTGTTACTGTGCCCGATAATAGGCTATCATTGGACCTGCACTCATAAATATTAAGGGGGAATCAGTAAAGAAGACAACCCACAATAATGTCACTATATCAGCCCGCATGTGGTTTGTTGCTCCACTGAAACCCTTAGGAACAAATGAACTGCTTGGATATAACTTACAACCATGGATTACAACAGATTTCTTAATTATTATTTTGTTGTTGCTGAAAAAGAAATGTAGACTATGCATGCCTACCGTCAACACACACACATAATTTGGACCTGTCAGGACAGTGAATAATTTCTAGCATATCATTACTGGAAAAATAAACAGTTTTGTGGAGTGATTGTGTGCTCTGTAAGTAAATATCACCCAATTATCTGAGCTTAATACGCCATAGCCGTCAAACTGTCAGGCTGAAGCACTAGAGATGAGCACTTTTACATATTCAAGAGTCACTGGAGCGTTGGGCAAATCTGACTATCTGCTCAAGCAGAAACACACATCACTCTGTTTATCATCTCACTACAAATTACATTAATGGCTGCCGTCAAAGCCTTGAAGCAAAATCTCATGGAGACGCTGAAAGCCAAATTCCCACTGAATGCTAAGCTGTTCATCCAGGGGTTTTAGTGTAAACAATGAGCTATCACAGGCAAATACTGAAACCGTTATAATATATAGTGTTCTGCCTGTTTTACATTTCAATGTGATTGATTGATATTAGTTCGGATGCCGTTTGGAAATAAAAAAACATTTATTTCCTTTCAGATATAGTACTGTATATATTATATTATCCTCAACTTAATAGCTCTTAACATTTCAAGTTTGACAAAAGTGTGCACCTGATAACCTCACTATAGTAAACGCCTTTGTTTTCTTAAATCGAAACAACAAAAAGGGTTTGGAGGGGATGTTTTGTTTCACTAATCTGCTATCTTTGGCACTACCCTTGTACAAGGGTAGTGCCAAAGACATACAAACTAAAGTCTAAAAGATCACACAAGATGTGTGTGTGAAGACAGATAGACAACAAGTGGGCAGACTTGGTTCAAGGATGATGAAGATCATATATCAAAGATCATCTATACATAAGCTTCAGAATTGCTCTAAATGGACCTTGATGGATGCGTGTGTGTGTGTTTATTCTATAGCAGTCATTAGGGGGGAGGGGACATCCAATTCAGGAGCCTTTTCAACACCCCCACAACTGAACCAGAATGATAATGAATACTTCTGCATATTATTTATCTATAATGCCCTGAAACGAGTGTCTTTCAAATGATCACAATCTGAAAAAATGTAAAAACCTATATGACCAACTCACATATTCAATAGGAACACATATTGATTATTTTGGACTACATGGCAGTATCCCTATCTGGAATCTCCATTATACCTGCATCACACACGGACACATCACACATGTATGGTTTAGCAGCACAGGGAATAGTAATCATTTTTCAGCATACATGTAGAGCGTTTTTCGGGCATGCCAGCAGGATGTTTACAAGCGTTACCGTGTGCTGGTGGCTCGGTGGGTTATATTTGTTGTTACGCTTTGAGTCATTTCCTCACAAAATGTGGTGATGTTCGCGTAGCATATACAAACCTCAAGCTGATCTCTCTCTGCAATCGAGCGAAAACGTCCCGAGTCTTGCGAGAAATAGTGTCGTCCGCTTCGTAGCATCTTGCTGCATTGTGTCGGACAAGGACACACTGCTTCATTGTATGCTCGGACGCGGGCTGCTCTTCTCTGCCGAATGAATGAGAAGCAGCGCGGAGGCATGGACGTCTTGCTGAAAAACCGACATAAAGGAGTGCGTAACGGACCGCAAGCGAGGATGTTTGTTCATTTAACTTTTGATGTAATGTTGATCAATTTAAAAAAAACGTGTTTTGCTATTGTTTTTTAGGGTTCCCCCGACTACCTGAAAAATAAACAAGCACCGATTCGCCTTTTTTTGTAGAAAGTAACATATCTCCAAACTTTGTCTCCAACTTTGTCCATGTGCCGGTGCCCACTGTTGGAGGAGCGAGCTGACTGGAGCCACGCTTCACGTCACAGCTCTTTTTCCGTGGGACATCCTGTGCTAGCAAGGTCACGTGATCCCCCAAAACACCCTGCAATTATATATAAAAACCCCCCTTGTTTCAGGAAGTGCCGCCAGAATATAAAGTCCATGACACACTGTTGACGTAATTTTAATCACATGTAATTATATGTTGTGAATTTTGCAGCCTCATATTTAGTTTAACTGACAATAGGCTAGCCTGTTTATCATGGAATTATTGTCATAAAATAATACAATGTCCATGCATTCCTCATTCATATGTACACATTTAGATGATGATGAAACTACAAACAACAATAAGAACATATTTTTTATTTCTAGTAACTGAACACCCTTTACCTTGATTCTGACTCGCCCCCAAATTCCTTTGCTTTCAGTTTTGATTTATACATTTCTTCATACCTTTTTATAACTTACAACCTGACTGCACAAATAGAGCCCTTTATATTTTAGGAAAGTAAGTGAATATCTATAAGGGCAGTGAGCAAAAATAATTCAAGATTCCAGAGCTTTATTGTCATTGTTAGGGCACAACGAAATGTCTTTTGTGATGGTCATGTAGGTGCAATATAGAATACAATACAAATAAGAATAAAATAAAGGAAGCAAACCTTAAAAGCTAATAATAGAGAGACATAAATAGGATAATAATAAATAAATACAGCTAAAATAACTTCACTAAACATGATCAAGCACTAATATGTTCAGGTGTGGATTGCACATGTATATCTCAGCCTGTGGAGACATCAGATGTCAGCAGGTTTATGGCAGTTACTTGGGACGATCTATTTTGTTGGCTATGTTCGGGGCCTTAATTATATATTGTATTGTATTATCAGCGTAAATGCTACACTCCATCCATAGTTCCAGTTAAATAAATACATTTCTTAACACTATTTAACTTATGCACTCATACACATTTATTTTGTCCACCAGCAGTGTTTGAACACTTGGGGGGCAGCAGTGTAAAAGAATATAGAGGACTGGAGCAGCGTATCAGAGAGGGATTGTCTGCACAAGAGGCCAACATGATGTGTGGCAGCATACTTTTAAATTAATCAACAACACACATTTAATGCACATAATAAAGTCTTATGAATAAATGTTTTCATGAGCTCCACTTTTTAGATTTGGTTTTACAATTTAACATCAATTTTATTTTATATAATCATATTTATAGCTTTTTACTCGATTTGCATACATTTATCAAACTGTTGCACACAGTTTATTTATTTTGTTTTACAAATTGTGCATATTGCTACAACGACAACCCCTCATAGAGCCTCAACGTTTTGTTGAAATCTTAGTAAGACCTATAAAACAGGACTCATGGTCATAAATGATCTTACAACTTTTGCAGCTGTTGTGGTCATTTCAAACCCCCGATGAATCCTGCAGAAATAGTGTGTCATGTCTTTTGGGATTTTGCACGATTCATGACTCTGTGTTCCCTCTGCTAGCACTCACTGAGGTTTATTAAATGAAAAGGCTGTTAACCTACAGTATACTCTACATGGAGAGATTAAAGGAGTGACCTAGTTCTTTAGTGGACCAGGACTAAAAGCGAACCTCTGCCCTTGGCAAACCGCACTAGAGATTATCAATAATAATCCAAAATGGTAAAGCTGAATTGGGTATCTTGACAACAGGTGCTATAACAGACAGAGTGATCCTGTAGTGACACAAGCACTGTGGGCCACATATCATTAAAAGTTTCCCTTTCTATTTTTGACCTGGCAAACAATTGTTTTCATTTTGGATGTGGTCTTGGACCATTTCATTGACACTGAACATTTTGAAAATGGAAAAGAAATGGAGAAAACATCATTGATATAGTTTTTCTTCTCATATGATGTGAACGTTTTTTGGAATATTTGGGATACTTGTAATCCGAAATGTTCTTGATATGCGGCAATGAGCATTATTTGGTCGTCCACATGTTCAAACTAATTATACTTGCAGCATTCCCTTTTAACATTACTTTTTGTTGAATGGCCAAAAATGTGCTCTAAACCTCAACCTCATAACTTTATAACATACAACCTTTTTCTCATAAATGAATTCCATGTTATTTGTAGTGAAGTACATTTACAGTTTTCAGCTATAACTGACCATATTTTTTTTATTATTTGTAACTTATTAGGCTACTTATTTTATTTGTAGTTTCTATAATGTACTAGTCAATGTTTATGAGACTTTTTTCATTATATATATTTTTTTTAACTAATAAGGGGTGACCCATTGAGATCATGGTCTACTGTTTTATTTTTTAAAGATCATGTCCAATTTTATCTTAAACTACTGTATCCACTTATTCTCAAACAAAAGGCAAGGCAAGGCCTCTTAATTTAGAACACATTTCATATTGTGTATTTGTGGGGAATGTGGCCCAGGGGATAAATAAATCCCTTTCATGCATGAATTATGAAAGCCTCAGTCAGGATTTTTTTTACCAAGTGTTATTTGCTCTTGGTGCATGAAAAACAAGATTTGAACTTTTTTTTTTTTAATCTAGTTTTTTCAAAGAGATTTTTATATGTCCACTCAGGTGGACAGTATGCGTTCAAGGTTTGAACTGAAGAGATGTACATTTAGAAAAAATGATAAATAAAGATGTGCAAACTTAAAATTACATTATAATAACATAAGTATATTGATTTACGGCCCAAATAGATATTGCAGATGAAGTATTTTCAAGAATAACCAGGGCCAGGGGCCAATTTGAGGCCCCACGCACAGTTATTTGATGAGTGCTAGCCTCGCAGCGGCGAAACCGTGCCGCGCCACCCTAATTGCGCCACATAAGCGCATAGGTGTGCCTCAGATGAGGCCCCCCTCCGCAAGGTGTGGCCCCCTCCACAAGGTGAGGCCCCACACAGTCTGCATGATCTGCCTGTAGGGAAGGACGGCCCTGGGAACAACAGCAGCAGTACCAGTACGAATTGTAGTTGAAATATAGCCAGTGATGCATGACGTCCACTGTAGTGGACAGGTGGTTAATCATGATTTCCTGCAAACATAACATCAATACTTTGATAATTTATGAATTATATGATTCCTTAGTTGTTACTTGATGTCACCACCTTTTTTATACCTGCAGGGGACGCTTTCCATAAAAGGATTGGCAAGATATAGATGGGTGACTTGGTCCATGTGGCTTTCTGTCGTCCATCTTGGTTTAGAGCAGGGGCGGATCTACGGGGGGCAAGGGGGGCAGCTGCCCCCCCCCCCCCCCCACTGTAGAGCCTTGCCCCCCCAGCTGCCCCCCTAACTTTTGTTTCCCTAAAACTGTACTAAAACAAACCTACACTATTTCCACAAGCTTCTCAAGCAACAAAACAAGCATTACATTAGTTCTAAGTGAATCATTTTAAATATAATTTTAGGCCCGTTAAAAACGCAGCTACGGCCCTGCATTAAACTGCGGAGTGGCGTTCACACAGACCGCGGCTCACACAGCTGCAGAGAGGGAGCGAGCTGTCCCAGCACCTATGGATCAGCTTCCCCTGGGAGCATTTCCCTTTCCACTAGTTTTGTTTTTACTAAGGACGAGAGCTTGAAACTAAATATTAATAAAACGCTGCCGTTTGAATCGATAGCGTTTAACAGACGGACGCTGTTTGAGGCGTTACGTTACAAAATACTACGCAAACAGCGTTAGCTGGGAGATCGATCACTTTGCTAAACTACGCGGTAGCCTACTATTATATCCACGTAAACTACACATCACAGCCATGAGGCCAGATCAATGAAACCAGGATACATCGTTTACCGTAAAAACTGGATCCAAACACAGCTGCCTGTGTGCGCTTGATCAATACTTTCTGATGTAATATTTATGATATGCTACATATTAGCTAGGCTACATGGCCCTAACGTGTAAAGTTATACAAGCATTTGTACCAGTGCTTTTCACAAGTAGACTCTTGCAGGCCAGAGTATAGGAGTGATTCAACAACAACAAAAAGACATATGAGAAGTGATCAGGACGAACAGAAAGAGGAAAAGGAAAAGAGAGATGAAGAGACCAGGAGGGTCAGAGCAGGAGGAAGAGGAGGAGATGAAGAGACCAGGAGGGTCAGAGCGGGAGGAAGAGGAGGAGATGAAGACATTAGTGAAGAAGAAGAAATATATGTGAGGAATAAAGATGAAGTATCAGAAAGAGGGCCAGAGGCAGGGATCAGGAGGCAGAGGAAACTCCAGCTGGACCACATGGTATGTTCTTATTCTCCTTACATATTCCATTACAGCAGCACAATCTAGCAGCTCTTAGTATTGACAAATATTGATTGAAATGTGTTGCTGCACAGGTCACCTGTAGCTCTCTGAAGAGATGGGTGATGTCATTTGTGTACTTAATTATAATTAAGTACTTACAGTATGCAGAATTCTGAGTATTCTCTGAATCGGGTGCCTTTTGGGTCTTTATATCTTTGAAAAATGAAACCGAAATGTTTGGTCATAACATCTGGTAGTGGACTACTTACATTTTCCCACCTCAGGCACAAAAAATAAATAATTACTAGGAATTTCCTTGAAAAAATAGGGTTGAAGTTTTTGACAAAAAGTAGGCATGAGACCTTGTTTAGCTAAGATATGGCACCACGTGGAAATCAAGGACATTACAAAATTGTAATATTTTGCAAAACTATTGTTTATTTCTGTAATAAACAATTATTTACTATTAATAATTCATACAACATAGTTGAAATGTTGAGCTTGTCAATCTTAATCTGAAAATACAAAAACTGAAATATAGGTAAGAGAAGAAAGTGAAACTTTTGTGATGTAATTCCCTCAATGCAGATCACACATGGACTGATCCATTATTTTAATAGGAGGGTAAATGATATGGCGTGACGGGGTTGAAACAAACTGAGGGACAATATTGCAATTTCATAGATAATTTTGATAATTGATAATTGATTTTTGATCAGTTAAAGTTGACAAGCATATGATTATATTAGCAGCAACATTTTGGGATAATTGGCCATTTTGATTTGTTTAATATTAAATTAATATGTAATAATGCTTAGTGAGGACATGCAAATATGTCTGTAAGACAACCAATTTTTTTTAAAACAAAATATATATTTAATTTTACATTGTAATGCAAAACAACCTGTTCCATTAATTCATTGCTTTAAAATACATTTTGTAGTTTCCTTTCATTTAAAATTATTGAAGTAAGCTTGGGGGACTTAAAGAGCACCCGATTGTTTGTCTGAACACCTTGTTTCTCTTGTGCATTAAGAACACTTGTGTTAGGGCATGAATTAACAATAAATAGGTTATATACAGTATAAAATACCACGTACTGTCCGCCCTCCTATGCCACCCTGGCATGACCTCTTGCCTCCCCTTTGCCCCCCCATGTAAAATGTTCTAGAACCGCCACTGGTTTAGAGACATGTATCATGCACTTACACTGACTTGGCACTGAGTGACAGTGTATGGGATGATGCAATAGGGTCCTATGTAGTGGCTGATGGTGCAACTATGCAAACAAAATAATGCATATACAAGAAAACACCTTTTGAATAGCTGTCCACTGTAGTAACCTCTATGCATGAAAGGGATAAGCAACTTCCAGTCAGCGGTCGGCAGTTCCATCGCCACCCGCTGCAGTCAACATGTCAAAGTGTCCTTGGGCAAGTTACTTAAGCCAAATTGCTCCTGTAGCCATGTCCACAGTATTGAAGTGTATTAAGTCACTTCGGATAAAGCATCAGCTAAATAACATGTAATGTAAAGAAGGTTGCTTTGCGATGTTCACAGAGATTAACAACAAAAAAGGGATTAAAGAAGAACATTAAGAGTGCATACCACACAGTGTGTAATAAAAAAGCATTGGCAGACTGACATTTTTAGCTTGGATTCTAGGTATTTCTATAAGTGTGTACGTGTTTACAGCACAGCTAAAACAGGTTTGGATTTAGTAACAGGAAAGAACAGCAGACTGGTGCCGGCTGACCTGAGAGGTTGAGCTTGTGATGTTGGAGCAGAACTTTGTTGATGTGTTATAGTCCCAGAGAAAATGTAACTCTGCTATTACTTATCATTTTCCTTCAAAGTGGCAGAAATATATGTGTTTTACTATGTCCTCTGTTGCTCCTCGGTTCCTTGAATTCTGATGTTTTGATTTGGATGCCAAACCCTATGAGGGTAACTTTCATTTTATAGTACCACAACTGAAGAGGCTCATCCGGTCAAGAGAACAACATGATTTGAGATATCGACATTTGTTTCAATGACTGTTCTTTACTGATATTTAAATTTCAGGATACACTGAGCCTATTTAGAAGCAGTTTTTAGCCTATTCTATTGGCCACAATAATCCAGATCAAATTATGCACAAACTGAAGTGATGAGCATCTCCCTGAAATGTCCCTGTGGGCAGCCTCATGGCTCAGTCTCCAACAGAAACAAAGAGGTCAGCATTTGCCGCTGTGATTGAAGGCACTGGATTAGAAACTAAGAACAGGACTACAGATGAGCAGTGAGCTTTTATCCGTATGATTCTTTTGCAGTGATCCTTGCAAAGACACTTGCACATTTAAGCTTCAGTAGCAGGTGTTTATTGTAGAATATAAACACTGGCCCACATCTGAGGGTTTTAACATTTGAAACAAAGGCCACATTACAATGATGGCAGATGTTAAAAGAAAGTTAATGTGTTAGCGAACTCACATAGATTGCACATTAATGCTACATATCCAACAGTCGATTGTAGTCGTGGCAACAGTGTGTGCTAATTGTGCTTTACATTTTTGTCAGATGGAGTCTGTGTGGCCATAGACAGGCTCTGTGCATTACAAGATGAGGAGAGATTAGAGCACAGTGGGTTAATCTTTTGGCCTGCCATCTGCCAGGTCCATGAAAATGAAACCTGAAGCCACGGCCTTGACCACCAACACACAGAAGTAACCTGACAGGTGATCTTTTCTACTGAATATGACAAGTGACTATCATGAGAAAGTTATGCATATTCTGAATTCACTGCCATAAAATAACAGACACATTTTAAAACTTGGCTGTCTAGACACATTATGTCTCAAACCTGAAATGTCACTGATTTCAATCCTGAAAGTGACGTTTTTTATTCTGCATTATTTGTGCCTCTCTTTCCCACCCGGTGACTGTCTGACAATGTCCAGTTTTCTGAAAGCACAATGCAACAACAATGCAACAAGCTGTTACTGAGCTCATGCTTCATACTGTACATTTTAACAGGCAGCACTCAGATTATAAAGTAGGTTTAATTTCAGTATGAGAATGGACTGTAAAAGCTTTAATCATGTGTGTAAATCCTCTTGCACGCAACATCTTTAACGGTGTGCAGACAGTAGGCATCATAGAGTTGACATTTACTTTTTTAATTAAAAGGGCAAAATATAACAGATGTTATGATTTTATATTACAGTATCTGTTCAAACATAAGAATGGCTATGTTATTTTGTTCTTTAATTACAGCTCATAGAGTTGCATTCTGCAACTTTATTTCGCAGTAAATCAACTAATCATTGTGTTTTTATTTCAAGAGAATGCGTGTCAAATAAAAGTAATATCTTGTAAAAAATAAGGTAAACTTGTCCTCAGTTTATGTCATCAGTCCACTCCACACATTCCCTTCATGATATCTAGCATAACATCCGGAACTATAATCAGATCACTTATTGCTTTCATCTACTGTCATCCTCTGTTTAGTAGCCATTATTTTTAATTGAGTATATCCTGGAGTTGTTTTCCTTTCCTTAATGCAACAGATGGCTGTGGAGTGCATAACAGATGGAACTGTATTTATTGGTAAAACAGCGTGTATTAGGAAAATAATGATTCTGTATACTTTAATCCTTCCACCTCCTTACATCACATTTATGTAAAATATGTTTGTAAATTTAAGTTATGTTACATATGTCTCATTTATTTAAATATATATTCATAAATGTATGATACCTTTAATTAGTGGCTATTCAGTTTAGACTGTGTATCTTGTAAAACCATTACATTCTCCAAATTAGAATACAAGCTAAATCTTACAGTGCTTAGATTGTAATGGCCAAAACTTTCAATAAAGTTTAAGCAATATATCAAAATTAACATACAGTTAATGTAAATGTAAAAAATCAAAGTCAAATTTGACATTCGTTTAGCCATAAGAGCAGGACAGTTTAGCTTTCTTATCTTCAGACAGACACATTTCTTCCATTGTGTTATCCTTTACATTATTCCAACATATCAGGACATGATGGTAAAAGTGCATCTATGATTTGTTTTTAAATTATTTGCTGTGTACTTGAAAAAAAATAAGAAAATAAAAATGTACCTCTCCATGATCTGCAAAGCTGTGGCATAACTTTGTTTTGTCTGGCCTGCAGAAAAGGCCATCTCCTGTCTATTGAAAACTCCTGTTGGACTGAGAGGGCCCAGGAGTAACTCTTAAGATGTCTCATTGGATTAGCTTGTGCGTGCTGCCTTTCACCTTCTCCAGTCGCACAGGAGCACCTAGAGAGCTGCATCTCATGTACAGGACTCTCGACGGAGCCGTCTTCATGGTGCGGTTAAATGACCTCATTCTTTAGGATGAAGAATGTAAAGATATTACATTTTCCACTGCTTTTTGTGTTTGTGCATGCCTGCTTTGGTAAGTTACTCATTCTCTGTTTAAATGTGTCCTGTTGCTGTGATCTGATTATAAATGCTGACAGCCCCTGGGTTGATGAGTGTACATTTTACCTCAGTTTATATTGAAATATATTCTGTTTTCAATTAGTTCATATTGCCTGACTTGGTTAGTTGATCTCATGTGTGTGTTTGAGTGTGTTTATGTATGACTATCATGCTGATTGATTTTTTCAATTGTAAATGTAATTTGAATATTTAGATGACTTTCACTTTACACATTAAAGCAGCATTGTTTGCACCACCAGAGCTCAGAGGTCTATGTTTAGAAAGGTATCTTAAGAGGTTGTAATCCCAGGCAAAGTGACTAATAAGGAGGGGGCGACAGCACAGTACAGTGAGCTTGGTTTACGCTCTAGTTTTGAAATTAAAACTACATTTGTGAAACCTGTAACGACAGACACGAGAAAATATCTAATTAAATTGCTTGAACAAACATTAGCCAGCAAATTGATTGATTGTACTATAACAATAATGAGTTTGTTTTATAAATCATAAATTCAACTGTCAATTTGTAAAAGAAAGATTATGTTATTACTTCTTCTCTTGTCTCACTGAATACATTCATGAGCTAAAACATTCTAGCTTTTTAAGGTGTTCTTATTTCACTTGTCCTCAGCACAAGCAGACTTTGCACCCTTTTTCTACGACAATGGACCCTACAACTACAATGGGAACATGGCGCTGTTCAGCCTCTCAGAGGACACGGCTGTCGGTGAGATCAATACAAAAAGCAGGACATTTAGCATGAACAGCTAATTCTGTACTGTTGGAATCATCAATCATTGAAAGGGCATGTTTTGGATGCCAATATCTGGGAGTCCATGTTAAATAGTCTTTGATAGATGAACAGGTGCTGTGTGGCATGAAGGCTCTCACACTTACATTCTCCTCTACTGCTGCTGTTGATGTGTGTGACAGTATTTTACACAGCAGTTTGGCCCAAACAATAGGCTAACTATAATCCTTGGTTGTGGATTAGAGTTATATTTTCCAAATGATTTCTTATTCTTAAACTGAGAAATTAAAAGGAACTACATAGATAATTTGTTTTGTCTTGAGGGTAGGCTTTGACTCTTCCAAACATGTCCGAACCAGTCAGAAGACAAAGCGGTTTGTTTTACATGTTGACGTCTTCCTTTAGGTACACAGATCTATTGTCTCAATGGCACAGACCCTGAGGGCCAGGAGGTGAGGTATGGCCTTTCTTTTGATCCAGGGTCAAAAGAATACTTTAGGGTCAACTCCAAAACTGGAAACATCACATTGGCGGAAAAGCTGGACAGAGAGGTAAACTTAACAAAGGCCTCAGGACTTGTGATGTAAATGTATGTATTTCTTCATATGATTTATTTGACCGTCCCTTCACAGAAACAAGATTCTATTGACGTCCTTGTCAGCATCACAGATGGACAAAGCAAGGTAACAATATCTAGTTGAATGTGTTATAATAATTTGTTTGGTCTATTACCTGTGAAACCAACACAAATAAACTTGAACATGTTTCATGTTTCAGGTTGTGGAAAGAGTCACAGTATTTGTAATGGATGCAAACGATGAAAAACCTGAATTCCAAAACCTGCCGGCAATCATTGAAGTCCTGGAAGTAAGTTAAGCCAAAAGTGTTTGCTTTATGAACCATACAATGAAAATGACAGTATATTTTTGAAACAATAGATGAATATATGTGTAAGTCTTAAATGTTGTGACCCACATTATTTTCTATTTTTCAGACAACTGAGTCTGGCGGCAGCATCTACAAAGTGGAGGCAGTGGACAAAGACACAGGTTCAGGGGGCTCAGTCAACTACTTCCTCCAGGTATTACTCGACCCCCACAGGCCCCACATTCTCTGACTACTGCAATAAACTAAAACAGAATAAAAATAACAAAATAAGCTCAGACACAACATTTTTTTAAATGCTCCCCTAACATGAAACACGAGCTGAAACCGGAAAGTTCTAATGTTAATCTTCTTGTTACGGAAATATGTATAGATGTACAGATAACGAGGTTAACATCAGTTCAGGGTTTTCTGATGCCCATGTGTGCATGTGCCTGACGATGGGGATTAAATCACAATCACATTTGTATCAGGTATTGAAGGCTTAGAGGGCTGCTTTGGCAGGGGGTGGCAGAGAATATTAGTTTGCACTTTGGACTATTAGGACCGAAGAACATCTGGCATGGAGTGACAGTGTCGAGGGGAGGCAGTGCACATCTGGACACAGCAGCTTTCACCTGCATGCACTGTCCTTGAGCATATGGGCTCTTTACATCCAGATGGACAATGTTATAGACTTTGTATAGCTGTGTCCTAATTCAAGTGTTTTTTATGCATCCATCTGACTATTTTTCATGATATCTCACATGAGTGGTTGTAAATGGGGCTTTTACTCATTTGACCTTTTTAAAACCCTGCATGTGTGTGCTTATAAAAATCCTGCTTTTGCCCTGTTCCCTGTCACAGAATGCTCAGTCCAGTTTGTTTGCCATGGACAGAAATAGTGGTGTCCTTCGTATCAAATCTGGAGAAACGTTGGACTATGAGAAAACAAAGACACACTTTGTCACTGTCGTTGCAAAGGTAATGGGTGCATCAACACTCATAAAGTTGTTCTGTCGTCAAATAATTTCTCTTTCATTTTAAAAACAAGTGGGTTATAATACCCTGTGGAGCTTTTTTTAGCTGCTAATAGCACCAGTGATGTTATTGCATACATGGCAAGTACACATGGATTTAAACAATACTTTAAGAGTCAGCTTTTCAAATATTTTATTAAGAATTATGTACTCAACACGTTTGGTAGGCCTCGAGAACATATAACAAAGTTTGGGATGGATATGAGTTTAAAGAGTGCTATCATTAAACACAACATAAACATTAAAAAGCACAAACATAACTTTGTACTTTATTGTGTTACAAATGACACTGCTGTTTACACCTGACTGTAAACATTATTTCAAGAAGTCAAGAAGTATTAAAACAACTTTCTTTTGTTTCAGGATGGTGGTGGTAATTTTAATGGCAAGGAGCAGTTTATGTCATCCTCTGCTACTCTGACGATCAACGTGATTGATGCACAAGACACTCCGCCAGCCTTTATTGGGACACCGTATTTTGGCTACGTTTATGAAATCTCAGTGGCAGTGAGTATGAAAACAACCTTCAATGATGGCCTGCTTTTATGCTTTTTTATAAAAACTTGTAGTTTGTATTGCAACTGGCGCATGTGTCTTAAATTAAATCATAGCAGCATTGCAACACATGATAACCTCACGTAGGCAATGCAATTTATTTCTTCATTCACAGTATAGGTCATGTAAGAACCTACAAAAGAGCCCACACAAAAGACTGCATCATCAGGTATCAAACAGCTTTAGTTGCTGACATTTTGCAGTAATGCCCATGCTGCTTTCTTAATAGCTTAGCTAAGATCAAATGAAAGCAGCTATCTCCTCAGCCACAGAATGTCACAGCAGTCATATGAAAGAGATTACACATTCTGATTTTCATCCGAAAGGGAATAATTAGGATCATGACATTTTAATGTCGGAAGACTCAGTGACGATCAGGTTCAGAATTATTATGGCATATGTTGTGAAACTCTGTGCACCAACAGGGTGACTCAGTACATTTCCTGCTTTGTTAGCTCTTTTCTTCTTCACCTATATCATTAGATTTTGACAATGTGATCTTGTCAATAGTCACATATTAGAGTTGTTTAATATAAGAAATAATAAAAATGTCTTAAAAAAGTAATTGTTATATAAAAAATAAAGGTCATATTGCAGTATGCCATACAAAGGTCATAGTGTAGTTGACCATAAAACATGTCTAAGTAAAGAAAGAAGTCTCATTATAGTATGTCAAAAATTGTATATAATAGTATTACTTGTAGAAGAAAAATAGTATACATAAATACATAGTAAAGTACATCATAAATAAGTCATAACGAGTTATTTTTCATGAACATTTCCATGGGCAGGATGCCATGGACAATGAAAAGTCAAAGAGCATTCTGTCAAACAAAAAGTAATAAAAGAAAGTAAAACTATGTCTTTGAAAAAGTAATAACAGCAGAATCTTCTGATTTCCCCCCAGGGATCTGAAATATTCACTGTCGTGGCAAAAGATGGCGATGTGGGAAGCCCAAATCCAATCCAGTATTCCTTTGACAGTGGTAAGCATTTCACTCAAAGAAGATTGGAAGGAGTTTGAAATATGGCAAAGGTGCTCTTAGGACTGTGTTGTTTGTCCCTACAGGCGACGATGGTGTTTTTAGCATCAATAAAACAAGCGGTTGCATCACTCTGCTGACTGACCCCATGTATCTGAAGAGAGAGATCTTCAATATTAAAGTCATGGTGAGTGGAAGCTCACAAAGTACCACTGATCTAGGTAGATTAAATATCCCCAAGTCTAAGAGATAGCTGTGTGTTATCTGCATGACCTTTAACCCCTGTCTCCAGGCATCAGAAGTGAGTCCTGAAGGCAGGCTCTTGGACAGTGGGGCGACCATACTGGTGATCCGTGTGGTGGACCTGAACAATAATCCGCCTACTTTCTACGGAGAGAACGGCACCCAGAACATGTTTCAGCTGACCATGTATGAGCATCCCCCCGAGGGAGAGATTCTCCGAGGGCTGAAAATCACTGTCAACGACTCCGATCAGGTGAGAAGACCAATAACATCTTGTTCAGTCATCACTGACTGAAATGTGAAACAAAAATAAAAACGAAAAAAAGGCATATTTCAGTTACCTTTTACCAAGCAAGTACCCTTTTTAGCCATGAAATAGTAGTACTGCCTTTGAAAGCTACCACATTTAATGGGGATGGAGTGATTATGTGACAGTGATGATGTACAGTAATAAGACTGATTTGTCCCAAATTACATTACATTACATTACATGTTACTTGTTAGACGCTTTTATCCAAAGCGACTTCAATACTGTGGGCAATCCTCACAGGAGGATGAAGTGTCTTGCCCAGGGACACAACGACATGCTGACTGCAGTGGGATTTGAACCTGTGCTCCCCTGATCCGAATACCAGTAGTCCACTGCGCCACACGCCTCCCCCAAATGATATTGTTATCTAATAAAATAACTGATGTAATCAACATTCATCGTACCGTAGCATTGTGTTCAGACTGGTGTCTGGCCTTCTGTGTATGAAATGACCTTAAGCCTGCCATTAACACAGACAATCCTTTTAAAATTGCACAAATTTGAAAGTAAGCCAACACAAATTAAAAGGTGTTCTCTAACTGTGCCATTTGTCAGATTATGCAAGTCTGTCTGTGTTTCCAGCTCCTTCTATGAGCCTCCTCCAAATGGCTGATGTTCACCAAATGCTCTTTTAATACTGTTACAACACAGGTCGAGCTCTCTTTGTCCAGCGATATTACGTTTCACCGACAATATTTCTGCTGCTATACTGATATCCTAATGATTTCTTATACATTACTATAATAACAGATGGATCGAAAGCTTTTCTTTTGATTAAAGGGACTACATGGATTATAATATAAATGTCTCTTTTGTGTGCAATAGATTTATAACAAACAAAGCAGATGACTATTACGGAGCCCTGGAGGGTTCATAGAGAGAAAAATAAATAAAACGTGGCCACGTTTTACTTTCTCGTGCGCACGCTTTAGTAACTCGTGCGCACGAGTTACTAAAGCGTGCGCACGAGTTACTAAAGCGTGCGCACGAGTTACTAAAGCGTGCGCACGAGTTAATAAAGCGTGCGCACGAGTTACTAAAGCGTGCGCACGAGTTAATAAAGCATGGCCTCGTTTTGTGTGTGTGTGTGTATGGGGGGGGGCATTTGTTTATGATAGTATCGTTCGTTCCGGTGCATCGAGATTAAGATTAAACACATTTATTTCACTTGGGAATACACTTAACTATGGGGAACCAGATTTGTTTAAAGTACTGTTCGTGGTAATTTGAAAACAAATGCCGGTGGTGTCGGATACACACGAACACGCACACAGAGCGGAGCTGAGCACACACACACACACATCATGCGCCCCGGTGACAGGACATCTCCTTCATAAAGCGAGGCGGAATACTCTGGTAGTTCGATGTGTGTATAGGTGTGTGTGGTTAAACGTAGCAGCCTCGATCTCTATTCAGCGGTTCTAATGAAGGGAAACGCAGTGAAGTAAACAGTAAAAGGCACAGCTCTTTGCAGCTGGTGCTGCTCTTCTCAGATTCTGCTGAGTTACACGTTACTGCCTCCAGTGCCCTGTACGACGAAGCCAGTTCAACAGACCCTGGACCTGAATATGTTCGATTTACCCGGCTTAACTGACCCTAACAAACGCGATGTCGATAAGCGGTCCTACGAAGCTGGTTATCAACTCAGTAAATCAACCAGGGTTTCTCTGTCCGGCTGAGAGCGCGCTCAGGTGAAAGGGACGGGGTTAGCAACATTTGACCAATCACAAACATGGAGACGCGTGCTGACAGCGCAGCATCATACTTCATGAATGAATAGTGTAAATAGCCAATCCTGCTTCGTAGTACAGGCCACTGGTGCCGCTGAGATTTCATAAAGTGAAGGAAGTTTTCCTTCTATAAAACAGCTGTGGGCAGCAGATACTGTGAGTCACGGACAGGAATCCCTCAATTTAAATAAAACGAGGCCACGCTTTATTAACTCGTGCGCACGCTTTAGTAACTCGTGCGCACCAGTTACTAAAGCGTGCGCACGAGAAAGTAAAACGTGGCCACGTTTTATTTATTTTTCTCTCTATGAACCCTCCAGGGCTCCGTAGACTATAAATAGTTCCATGCATTTATGACATAACAGTTATTTTTACTGATGAAACTTTCTGACTATTGTGATGATTTGTGTTGTGCGAATGCAGGGTGCGAATGCTAAATTCAATCTTAAACTCATCGGACCAGGAAGGATGCTGCGAGTCGTCCCGCAGACTGTCCTCAATGAGGCCCAGGTCACAATCTTAGTAGAAGACTCTGCTGCCATGGACTTTGAGAAACACCACTTCATCACATACAAGGTTAACCCATTGCACCAGAGTAGTTTGAAATGGCATCACATCGCACACATGTTATATCACCTGCATCTGTTATTTTATCACTCCTTTTCTATGTATTTATTTCCTAATCTTTCTCCTCTTTAGCTACTTGCAGTTGAGATCGATACGCCCGAGAGGTTCAGTGCCACAGCAGACATTGTCATACATCTCTTGGACACGAATGACAACGCTCCCAAATTCTCCTCCGAGTACTACATCGCCAGAATACCAGAAAACTCACCCGGTGGCTCCAATGTAGTGTCAGTCACGGTGAGAGAGACTTCATCCTGTCTAAAAATACATGCCAACACCAATGTACGTCACTCTGAGCTAAAGAGGAATTTTAACAAAAAGCCCAAGAGGCCCATTAATACCCTAAATGTAGACTTTTGGAGCGGTGAGGGTCAGGATAATATGTGAAAACAAGTAGATAAAAGCTAGGCGAGGTAAGCTGCCAGATGGCTATCACTTTCATTTTGTTGTGTAACACCAAATTCCCAGATTTTATTTTCCTAAGCTTAGCAGCACATGCAGCTGCACCACAAAAAAATACGTGCAGAACTGACATGAAATAACTGAACAACATGTTACAGGGAGATAGATAGATAGATAGAGAGACAGACAGACAGACAGACAGACAGATAGGTAGAACATTCTTCACCCTCTTGTCAGTTCATATCACCCTAACCCTCAAAGCAACAGGGGAGCTGCTTATAAATCCTGCCTTTGCGTGAACACCAGAGGCTCATTCCCTTGATCCCAGGCAATTTCAATCAGATAAAAGAACAGCCAACAAGTGACCTTGGACACATGGAGACAGCGAACAAGCCCCCCTGCTGCGACAGACAGACAGATTAGCCGATACCCATCATGATGTTCCTATGACATCAAAAAATTGTCTTTTTATAGATGACCTGCGCAATTTATCGTCCAATCCAGGGCAGATTTATTTCTTTTCATGAGCTCATGGCAGCACATAGTTCCCCTTTTCTGCTTAAGTAGAGAGGGGAACTATCTGCTGCCAAACAAATCTAATATTAATGTGGTTTAGCTGTATGACGTAGTAGATGTAAGTGGGATATGTCTTAGCTCACTGAGCCACATACTGCTCTAAAACTCAGATTTCAGATTTACTGCTGACCTGACCTAATATCAGTGCAAACTCATAACATTTTATTTCTCTAAAATCTGTCTTTTATGTTCATGCACAGGCTATAGACCCAGACTCAGGACCTTGGGGTGATGTGAAGTACTCCATCTATGGATCAGGGGCTGAATTGTGAGTATACAAAAGTTACAGGAGGCGCCTCAACACGGCTGTGGGTATACTGCGTGTTATTAAGAGAAAACACAGTAATAGCTTTAATAAAATCCAATGGTGCGATTTCCTGCAAGTTCTATTATCAAGCCATGTTTTCACTGTGCTTCACTACCTTTTTCTGCCTCTCCTGAGTCTATTAATCCGACATTTTGTAGTTATTTTGCCAGTCTCAACATACCAAAGGAAAATCACCAACCCTTAGACAATACTCTGAGCAGTTGATACACTTAAAAAACACTTGTTTCAGAAAATGATTTAATGAAATGACAGATGTGGCCTTTTAATTGCAAGCTATTGTAAAGACCACCTAAAGCACAGAAATACGACCACAGACTTGTTTTTCATATTCTGAATTGGTTCTGTTTATTGCACCTAAGCGCTGTAGTCCCTCAAAGGATTTGCTGGTATTTTCTTTCAGCTCGATTCTTATTAGATTTCCAGTTAGAATTCTAACCTCTGAGAAAAAGGCTCAGAGGTCACTGTTTACTCTTAATAACACGCAGTATACCCACAGCGTGCGTTTCCTTTCACATCAGATACAATCCTAAAGGTCACATGCATGCCGTACAAAGTCAATACTAACACTCTTTTGTTTGTTTTTTAATCATATTTCAATCTGCATTCCTTAGAGGACCAAGAGACTAGATTTAAAAACAGCGACACAGAGTAAACATGAACCTGTAAAAGTGCGGCGGCAACATAAACACACACGTGTTGTTAGGGATGTATTTAAGCATTTTTTTACATCTCAGCTCAGATTTTAAGCTCTCTAGCAACAAATTAAAGGAGATGTATGATGCCACATGGCACTCAGGGAAAGGATTTCTAAAATAAGCAGAAGAGACAGATTTGGACCCTTTCTATCTTAGTGATCACTAGTACACTTCATGGTACTGCTAAAGCATGCAATTTGAAAATGTTACAGTATCTTTTTGCACACCAGCGTACTATGATAAATCCATGAAGTCCTGATCTTTGCCTGCTTGCCCTCTTTCTCTGTTAATCCTGTAATGGGATTGGAGGAGAAAATAGACTGTTCTTTACTTCTTACTACACTGTGACAGAGTCAATGCTGGGTAACAAAACAAGTCAGTCAGAAAAACAGTCTAATCCCAATCCTTCTCGATATGTTAACACTTCTATATTTCATGACTACATTTCATTGGCAGTGGTATCATCATGATCTAGTGCATTCAAGTTTCAAATGCAGCTTTTTATGTGAAAGAAAATAAAAAACTGACGTTACCAAAGTGCTCAACAAAGACAATAAAAAACACAGGAATGATATGAAGAAAAATCGAGGAAGGATCAAATAAAAACACAGACATAAAAAGTATGTGGTCTGGCATGACGGAAAATGACGGAAGATCTAAATGCCAACCACAGCTTGATCCCCTTTGGGTTTTTTAATGGGGGTGTGGAGTCGAGAGCAGTGATTGGTTAATTGATCCGAGGGGACATGAGGAGGAGGGTTGAGCAGATGTACACAGGTGACAGTCAATGCATGCTTTTTAAATGAAGTACTACCCATACCTCCACAAGGGTCTTGATCCAAATGTTTGCATTAACAAATGGAGTGCATGCTGTTAATCTGAATTACACTCTAAATCCTGTCATATTTACAGGTTCTCGATCCAGCCTGCATCTGGGATCATCTACACCCAGCCGTGGGCGAGCCTGGACGCCGAGGTGAGGTCAAAGTACAACTTCTATGTGAAGGCAGAGGACGCTGAGGGGAAGTACAGCCTGGCTGAGATTTTTGTGACTGTGTTGGACCTGAATGACCACCCACCTGCATTCAACAATAACTTCCTCGAGAAGACCATGGTGATTGGAGCACCAGTAAAAATAGAGGTATTGGCTCTTTTACTCAGATAAAGTGTAACCCAAGACATTCCATGGTTTTAATGCAATGTATCCACACAGGCTGTGGACCAAGATGCAGAAATACCCAACAATGTCATTGAGTATGCCATCATGAAAGCTGAGCCAGACAACAATATCTTTGACATTGACGCTGACACGGGGGAGATCATGCTGAAGTCCTACATTAAGTCGATGGCTATCATTCAGAACATCACCAAGCAGACAGACTGCACCTGGTCTCTGGTGGTGCAGGCCCGGGACCGCGGCAAGCCGTCCTTCAGCACCACTGCGGTCATCAAGATCGACATCACTGAAGCTGTAAGTTACAGCAAGGAATGGGTAGAAATATGTCAGTCTCACCCATATGAGGGGTCTATTTACAGTACAATACACTTTGATGAATTCTACAGATTTTGCTAAAGTAATGCTTTTTAAACGGGTGCAACTTTTTTGCAGAATAACCCATTTTCTCAAAGCCCAGTATATCAGGTTGTTTGCCAAATTATCAGATTTGTTGACAGAACAAATCTTAATCTCTAAATGCGATTGTCATGTTTTCAGGTGAAATCCAGATTTGTCTCATACTTCCTGGGCCTCAGGAAGCGTCCAGGGGCTGTGTTTGGGATTTGTTTCACCGCTGTCACCTTCGCCATTTCACTGACAATCTTCATTTCAACTCTTATATACTGGAACTCTGTGAAAAAGACCCGTGTACAGTCTAAAGGCAAGATCAGAAAGATTATAAGGAGGTCTGTCGTATAAATGAAACTGACCTTGAGATCATCAGCACAGCAGTACTCAACTCTGTGGTAACAAGTAGCAAATATTTTTCAAAGGTTTTTGTCGTAGAGCAGGGCTGTGTCTGTGAAAGAGTACAAGAGCACAATTTTCCAATTTTTCTTGTTTTTGTCCTGATTTAGTCCTCACGTAGGACACTAAAACCAAGTTCTAGTTTTCGATTTTTAATTAGATTCATGAACATGTATTCCCAGGTGCTGGATGGTCTCAGCTACAGGTCGCCCAGTCAACCTCTCTGATCTTGTCTTGACAAAGCAGAACTTAAATCATCATTTTAAGTAAGATTAATTTGGCATTCACGAGGAAAACGTAAAATAGTTTGGACACAAACTGTATTATGGCAATACATTTGCAGTAACTGCGATCTGTATTTACACACATAATTATTTCGGCCAAACGTTACCACAAAACATAAATGGGACAATAATAATAAGTTACTTTTTGTGTGACAAACTATGACTTCAGTCCCATATATGAATTCTTCTTGTGCTCTTTTACAGACCCAACTCAGTGGGGGGCCTTTGGGATCATTTTTGCAAAGTAGAAACAATCCATTTCAAATCCTAGGCCTGCTTGCTAGTGCTATTAGTCTCATGGTCGTAGTCACAGTCATCATCTCCACTGCAACATTCATGCGCAACAAAAAGTCCAACCGGATTCTGCCTAACCGCCGCGTGAGGAGGAGGAAACAAAACCCCTGGAACCTCAACAACCCCTTAAAGAAACCAGAAAACCCCGCAGAGAAATTCAGAGTAGAAGAGGAGGAAGAGGAAGAGCCAGCGTCGGAGCCGGAGCCGGATCCGGATCCGGAGCCGGAGGTCATTGTTGAGAATGTCAACTACAACAACAACGTCACTAATGTTGTGAGACACTGGCCTTCGCCTCCTCGTGCCCAACCTCGTGCCCAACCTCGTGCCCCACCTCGTGCCCCACCTCGTGCCCCACCTCCTCCTCCCCCTTACATCCAAGGGGAGAGGCAGTGGTCGGTACCCACAGTCTCAGCTACAGTGGCAATCAAACCTAAAAAGAAGCCAGCGATGAGAAGACAGGACACTGTGAACTTAGCGCTGGTTTCAGAGCTCAAGATGAGACTGGAACAGAAGAAGATGCTGAAACAATAAAAGTGCTTCAGGTCCACTTAGTGTCTGTCCTGGAGCCTTCATGATCCTCATCCAAAAAGTATTTTTAATGCATTTTTTTCACAGTGCTTTAAGGTCTCCTTATAGATGTGTGTGTGTGTGTGTGTGTGTGTGTGTGTGTGTGTGTGTGTGTGGTGTGTGTGTGTGTGGGTGTGTGTGTGTGTGTGTGTGTGTGTGTGTGTGTGTGTGTGTGTGTGTGTGTGTGTGTGTGTGTGTGTGTGTGTGTGTGTGTGTGTGTGTGTGTGTGTGTGTGTGTGTGTGTGTGTGTGTGTGTGTGTTTTCAGGAAGAACACATACACTGGAACAGCTTGTTTCCTTATGTACCAAAAATGTCATTTTTACTTGATGGAGAGAAAAAGTCCCGTCATGTGTTTCATAATTCAGATCATGTTTTTAATTCATGAGCAATCATTGTTCAAATGTCCGTCATTTTGAAATAGATACATTCCACCTTTTGATCTATTTGTTGGCTTAAAGTTCCTCACCCCAGATCCCTTGTCGGGAATTAAGTCAACAAGCAAGACTGTTTCTTTGGGATCCGACCAAGCTCCTTACAAGAGATTTAATGACACTTGAACTGACTGAAGCGCTCAGCCCGAGGGAAGGGAACCCAAGAGATTATGTTAGGAAGACCTTTAATCCGCATGCGCAGGTGTAAAGCTCTGTTTCAGGCCCTGTCTTTGAGCTGTCACGACATGTTTGATTTAAAGGACTGTGTGTCTTTGTTTACTACTGTATATATGTGGTGGTTTATCTGTTTCAAAAGGGTGTATTCTTTGTCAAAAGATGTTGTCAGGATTTTACTACAAAATAAAATAACTTCCTTTGTTTATTTGTTGTTATTATTATTATTTCAACAGGTTTGTAAGAAGTGTTAAGATATGTGTACTTAACTGAAGCAATACCATGAAAATACAATTTAACAAGCACTTTTACTTTGATAAAAGCACATTTAAATCTATCTATCGAAACTAACCTTAGTGCAAATGAAGTGGCCAAATTCATTGTGAATGTATCACATTGTAAATATATGATATTTATATAATTACTGATGATATAGTTGGGGTTGAAGCTCATTAAATGCATTATATACTTCTAATAGTTTAACCAATAACAGTGCATGATCCTTCTTTAAATGATTCCATCCTTTGTACATAAAATATTAGGCTTTTAAGTAAATAGTAACAAAAGCAGTTCAAGTAATGTTTTGCATTTTAAAGGCAAATACATTACTGTGAAATGAAGTGGAGACAATATTCAAGTAAAACATTTCGAAATGTTCCGGTCTGGTCACAGCCAGTTACAACTGTCCAGTATCACAACATAGTGAATCCAGGATCCTGAAATCATGCTCTGAGAAACAAAAACAGAGACAGCTTTGTTGTCATTATCTTAAGAACAACACCTCCTTAATGAGCCGGCTAAGGCTCTCCTGCCTCCTTCTGGAGATAGAGGAGAAGCTGTTTGAACACTTGAAAGATGAAGAGCGTGTGAGCAAAGATTTAGGATCAAAGTTCCCAAATCCCCAAAGAAAATGATTATGACTTAAACTAAACTTATACGGTCTTTAGGGCAATTTGAGCATACATTTTAGCAGTTTATCCAAAAAATCATTTAGGACAACAGGAATGTTCATATTTTGGGAGTCCATGAACAAGGCCTTACACAACAATATTACTTTTGCTGTTGCTGTTAGTAAAACCTCACCAGATGTTCTTAAAATATGCAATATAGTATCCTCATAGCCCTTCTGCTCTTTGTGTAGACATCATGAGAAAACACGCACACTATTTCAAAGTTACATAAAACATGACATTTGGAGATAACCCTCTCTAATCCAAGGAACAACTTGTTCATCTTTCTACAATATTGTAATGTTGGCGAAGAACCAAGAGTCAATCTGTCCTGATTCAGTTTGGACGGACAAGATGTTGAACTTTCTGCAGCCTCTGCTGGCACATCTCACATGATCACGATGACGCAGAAGGAACTCTGAGGATTATTTTTTGACAAAATAAAAAGAGCCTCTTTACTCAGTTAGATCTAATACATACACATGTGTGATGTGCTGCTTTTTCAGGTTAGTACAGTCCTAAAGATTATTGAGCAAGCAAACTGAATTAGTTTACTTCAAAATTGTCACACACATAAAGACAAAAAGTGATCAGTGTTGCCAGCTGTTAATGCTTTGAAATGAAATGATGGAATATGATGAGCAGGCCAAATGATCATGCGTTATGCCATGTAAGAGGCAGCCAGGATTACTGGGCTATTTAATAGAGGATTACAGAGTTAAAAGTTGCAAAGAGCATTGATGCTTTAGAATGAAAGAAAGCTATGCGCAGGCTTCAACAACCCTGGCATGTGTTTTGAGCATCAAAACACACACATCTTTGCACACTGCTGCCCATGAGATCTGCGTCTATCATGTACTGTACTGTTTACATAATGCATTGCTTGCATTTACGTTAGAAAATAAGATAAATAAAGATCTAACCCATCCAATATTTTCTGAGATGAAATAGCTGAAATGACCAAATTCACATTGTCTTGTGACATACGAGATGCATAAGGATTACAAAAAAGCATCATCTATGCACCCTTATGGTAGATACAGGTCTGAACGAGAGAGGATTCAGATGAGTGTCTGCCCAAGTCGTTTAAAACCTTGAGTTAATAGAAACGGGCTCCGGCAGAGACAAGCCGCTTGCATCAGAGCAGACAACAAATGGAGATGGAGGATGAGGCTCATACGCCCATGAAGTGACGGCAGGAGGGGATATTGGAGAGGATGCCAGAGTTTGGGTATTAATGTCAAATGAACAATGCCATTGGCCGAGGCATATCCGACGTGCCATCTGTCCGGGATGGTCTGCACAGATCATGTGCGGCTGCCGTGTGTGGTATTTGCAGATGTGGGAGACGAGGAACTGTGACGTAAATGTACTGTGACGCAGAGAGGATTAAACATATGTTAATGAAACTTTACAGTTACAGTTTGTCTCGAACCACAACTTCATCTAATGATTTTCCTGATTATGTGCAGAGCTGCTTGTTATTGTGAGGCTTCTACTCCATTAGAGAATCAAATCAAGTGGTTATCTCTTAAAGTTACTAGCTTAATACGATGTCAATTCTACGTGTTTCTCCTGATAGTGTCTCCTTGTGTAACTGCAGCTGAAGGTCAGTAACGAATGTTCTTGAAACAATTCTTGAAACAAATTCTCCACGTGATTGGACTGACTCAAACTGCATTTAAATCAATTTCATTCAGATGCAATTGTAATGTATGTTATCTCATTACTATGCACTTGTATGTACTATGACTATGAACCCATATGGACAATTTCCTTTAAAATAAGAAGCTTTGAAGTTTTCATATTGTTTATTTACCCATATTACATCAACAATAGATTTAAAATCAAATCGATTTTTTGTTCCAGATCCAGTATCATGTAACAGTACAAAAATGGCAACTTAATTGACAATGTTGGACCAAAGAGAAACACCAACATAAAATAAGTTTGACATCACATATACATGGATGACACAGCATTAAAGTGCTAAGACATAATTACATAAGATGCACTGACTACTCAAAATTGTATTTGGGAGAAGCAAATATGAGCATTCTTCCATCAAATCAAATTACATCTTCATATAAAGCAGCAGTTTTAAACGTGTCATTTACAGTAAATGACAATGAAACGTATCAGATAACAAGACAAACAATGTATTTCGGACAGGAAATCATTTGAAAACAGTGGGGAAAGTCCTTGAATTACACTCACGACATAACGGCCATCATTCACATCTTTGCAACCTCTTCTCGGCCTAAAACAGAGGAAGAGATAATATTAAAACCAAGGAAGAAAACACAGTCATTCTTTCGAATATTGTACTTGTGTCAGAATCTATACTTTTATATTTTACTTTACAAAAAGGTCTATTGCAAGGTCAGTTATTAGTTTTGCTTGTTGGTAGTAATTTAATAAAGTTCAGCTGTGACTCTGAAGTGTTCAGCTTTGCCTTTATGCTGCCTGTCTTCTGACCTCCTCCTCACCTTCTTGTCTTCACTGGATTCTTTATTAACCAAGCCCTCGTCACTGGCGGCCTGCAGGCTGTCGAAGGTGCCCTGCCTCTCTCGCTCCAGCCCAGATGAGCCGCCTCCCCTCCGCCTCTTCCAGGACTCCATGATGTCCTCCAGCCGGGTACACTTACCATCAGTAGTGCAGGCAAACATACCGATAGGCACAGCCAGCACCATGGCCAAAACTATCACCACTATATGAATCAGCTTCTCCCTCTGTTCCATCTCAGTAACGTCACTTCCTGTTACAAACACGATGCACTGCCCGGGACGTGGTGCCTGGTTCTTAAGGGTCACACAGATGTCATATTTGGTGGCACGCATCAGATCAGAGACAGAGTACGAGTGGATCCCAGGGCCGATGTAGATCATCTCCTTCTTATCAATACCTGTACGGCCAAAGTGGATGGTGAACCAGGTTTCAGTTGGGTGGTCTAAAGCGGCGTGCCACTCGATGGTGATTCCACGTACTGTCTGTTTGGCGATACGGATGTCAATGTAGACATTTTCATCACCGGCCGCAAGTGGAGCTGAGTTCCCAGGGAAGAGTGACGACTGGGAGCCGTCTTGAGAGAGGACGTCCAGGAAGATGGTGACAGAGGAGTTTCCAATAAAGTTGATAGCATTGCAGGTGTAGACACCACGATCAGTTTTATGGAGGGATGGGATCACGAGGAAGAATCTGATGGTTTCTTCATCCACTCTTTCCTGAGACTCTAGGGGTAAAACAATGAAAATAAATGTAAATTTGCAGGACATGAATGCTTGAATAATACAACTCATTTTGTAAATGTTCTTAAGAGATTATCCACATGTTATAAAGTTGAACTGTGTCAGCAACACAATCAGTGACATAGCAGGGACTCTAGTGGCAGCAGCTGGCTGGTTGCTATGTGTTAGTAATGAACTAGATACTTGCAGTCATGATCTGCAGTAAGCACTCCACTCCAAAGGTCTAATGACGCAGATATTCATTTAATTGCACAGCTGACATTAGGTAGGCTACAGCACACTATAATCTCCCTACACTCTTAATCATAAATGATGGTGTTGGGCAGATTGAGAATCAGTGGTGATTATATCGCGTTGGGCCAATATCCAGATTTAGCTCTACTCATCTTAAAGAGGGGTTATGAGGTCTGCGATTAAAATGTGTTTAAGTAACTAATTCAGCAGAAGAAATCGCTCTGGATGTGTGGATAATATATCGTGCACATCGCACTCTTACCATGAAATCCTCTGATTATCTTCAGACCATATGTCCACCAAACAGCGGGCTCTGGCCTGGCCTTGGCGAGGCAGCGCAGGGTGAGGTTGGTTCTCTGGGGCATGCTGATGTTGGAGGACGGTGAGGTGACGATGGGCTTCACGCACGCCTTCAGCTCCACCTCATGGAAGAACTTTCCCTCCCTAAAGCCCGGCCCTGAGCAGGTCAAGTAGGAGTTCATCAATATAATCGGGGGGCTCAGGGACTTTATGAACTCCACAAAGCCCTTCAAGCGGCAGTCGCACATCCACAAGTTGTCGTGCAGAGCGAGTACGATGTTTGGCCCTAAAGCACTCGCATCCCGCTCCTCCGTGCTCTGTAGTTTTTGATAGAGAGGCCAGTTTTGAAAGACCTCCTTTGATATGACTGTAAGACGATTGAAAGATAAGTCTAAGTAAGTCAGACCTGGCAAATATTTTAACGCGTGCTCCGGCAGGACGTCCAGCTGGTTGTGCTTCAGGTCCAGGATCTTCAGGCCCGGCGTTTCCTCGAACGCTGTCCATGGTACTGAGCGGAGCTTGTTGCCCTGGAGACGGAGCTCGGTCAAGTTCCCCAAACCCTCCAGACCCTTTGAGTTTATCACTGTGATGTCATTGAAGTTCAACCACAGGTTCTCTAATGCAGGTGTGTTTGAGAATGCCCCTCTTGGTATTTCAGTGAAGTGACATTTTTCTATGCGGATCTTGGTCATATCATCTGGAAGGTTCTCTGGTATGGCACCAAACGCACTCTCCTCCATACATATGAGTGACCTGTGATTAAGGGGGAGAGTTTAAAGGAACAGATGGTAACTGTGTCGCCTAATGCTTTATAAACCTGAAATATACTAACACCACAAATTACAGCTACTAGCTTCAATAAAGCCCCTATAGCTTACTTTTATACAAACTCTTTTAATAACCATATGTCTTTTAATTGCTCTGCCGTCACCGACTGACACAGTTGGGATAAAACTACCTGAGCCTTGGTGAAGCTACAAGACTTACCTTCCATGACGGTCTTCTACACAGCTGCAGCCGCGTAAACATTGAGCATACGTTTCATGCGCCTTGATGTTAAGCACAGCTATAACTAGGAGGTAACAAATTATGTCCATAGTCCGAGAAAAATCCTTACATTGAGGGTTACATTCGTGCTCAAGACATGTCGAGTGTGGCTGCCGAGTGAAGCCTGCTAAGCTTAATCCCTGACAGACCGCGAACCAAACAAGTGGCATCTAATTCCTGGGTGAGACATGCCAGTGTAAGCAGGTCTGACACACTATAAGGCACTTTTTGGCAAGTCAACCTTTATAAAGTGTGTGTAAGTAACCAGAATGTTCAATAAATTCGTTTTTGGTTTGAATCCCCTTGTACAAAATAACTGATTCATTTGATTGTCTTATTTAATTAAATAATTCATTAAGATTAACAAAGTTATTACAACATACAAATCCCTAATAAGAGACAAAAACTGATCAAAAATGTGGAAAACCTGAAATGATTCCTGGAAATGTGTTTGATCAACTTAATAAATAGCATATGATCACCCTTTTCACTTCAATGCAGGAAAAAACACTTGAACTGTATTGATTTATAACATAATAAAATAATGTATAATATAAATGTATTAATATGTTGAGGTGAGAGATATAAAAACACACAGTACCACTAACTGGATATGTATATATAAAAGTTTATTCAACTATAATCAAATAATATCATTGGAATAAATAGATCTACATTTAATGGGGCAACCTCTAGGTGGCACAAAACAGGAGATATTTCAGTATGTGTCTCACTGAAAGGAATTAGACTGTCTTTAAACATTTTGCATAATTTCCACCCTATTTACATTGTGTCATAGTTCAGTCCTTTCTGTACTTCTCTCCAGCTCCAGCTTCTCTCCATACGCCAGAGTGTTGAACCATGCCTATGTGTATATCTTCTCTGAGAACATATGACAGATATATACAGAGGCACAGACATAACTGTATAGTGTACATCATCTAGTACATTATATACAAATAATACACATACATATATGATATAAACAATAGATTTTCTACCGGTGCGTTCCCTTTATGTCAGATCAAGTTGCAGAGGTTTCTTCGCTGAGCCATGAAAGTGAGATAACATATAGTTTACAACTTTTAACTTTTGACATGTTTTCTCTTACAGGCGAATTAATAAATTAAACATGAGCGTGTTTGCATGTTGTTTTACCATTAATGTTTGGATACTTTTGGACAGAGTTTAACTTTTGTTAGAGTTTTTAAGTTGATTAATCTGTTAATATTCCTCTAAACTGATATTTCCATTATAGTGCAACGTGCAAAAGTCCTTTGATAGAAGTTGGTTCTCTGTGGCGGTGGAGTTGGTGGCATGATCCAGCGAGGAGGGACGGATGGGGGGGTATCCCAAGGTGTGGGCGTACGGGAGCGCGTTGGAGGGGGACTGACGTCAGGATGTTGCTGAGGGCGAGAGCAGGGGCAGTGATGTGGATATGGATGTTGATGGAGATGGGGGTTGTGATGGGGGTGGTGATGGTGATGTGGATGAGGATGGGAATGAGAATGAGCATGGTGATGCGGATCGGTTTGCGGATGTGGATGAGGATAAGGATCGGTTTGGGTGTCAGGTTGGGGATGGGGATGGGAATGGGGATCGTTTTGGGTATGGGGATGTGAATGGGTGTTAGGGGTCGGACTGGCACGTGGGAGCGGGTGAGTGCGAGGAAGATGGCGTGGCGCAGGTGCTGGAGCTGGAGCATGACGTCAGCAGAAGTACTCGTTAGGTTGTCCCTCTATCTTAGCCGTGGCCTCAGAGTCCAAGCTGGATCGGGCCGACAGAAGCCTGTTGGATTCCTCTGGGTTCACTCTGTTCAAATACTCGCCCTCAAGCCCTTTGGCCTTCGTACCAGGCGACAGCGTTTCAAAGGTCACATATGAATCTTGGATGTCCTTGGTTTTCTTTCCCCAGTACTTTTGAATGCGTCTCTTCAGAGCCCCGCAGCACACGATGACTGTGAGCGGGACTGCGATGATACAGGCCACCGTGATCACAATCACATTAATCAGCCTCTGGGTCGAAGTTGCACTGGCTGCTTCATCAGTGGAAAATATCACACACTGCTCCTTCTTGGGGATCAGCCCCCTCACACAAACACAAGCAATGTACTTGGTTCTGGGCACCAGGCCTTCGATGAATACACGGTTTTGCCCTGCCCCAACATTGATCTTCCTCATGTCCCTCTCTCCAAACACAGCATACAGCACACTAAACGCTGTTGTGTTCTTGGCCTTAGGGGCTCTCCAGTTCAAAGAAATGGTATTGTCTGTGTCCCCCACCACCTTTACTGAGCGGACCACCCTGTCGGGGTCCTGCTGCAGTGATGATGTGTTGGCCGCCAGGTTGCTTAGATTAGTCTTCTCCAGATCCAACAGTGCATCTGGGTTGGAGGAGGTGGCAGGCCCCAGGGTGGCTCTGTCTGCCAGGCTGTAACTGGCTAGTCCCGGATCAGGACCAAGACCAGGTGGAAGGCCTGGATCCAGGGCGGGCAGGGTTGAAGGGGTCGAGGTTGGAACCACATATCTGGCCACCAGTTTCTCCTGGTAGGCAGCTTTACCAACAGGCTTGGGTTTCTTGACTTTGGCTTTCTTGTCATTGCTGGTTTGGTTCCCCTCTGGCTTTGGTGAGTTAGACACAACAAGAGAAATGACAGCTTCAGCATTTCCCGCATAGTTAGTGGCCTTGCAGATGTATTTCCCCGAATCCCGATAGGACACAGCAGGGACACTGAGGATGGACCAAGTGATTCCCTCTTTTGAGGTCTCCTGCTGGACTGCGATGACAGAGAGGGGAAAATAGTATTGTTACACAATGGTTACAAATGGATAACGTATGATAAAGCACTCAAATATGACGTTTCATTTATATGAAAGAGCCCCTTTCATTGATGCGGAAAATGAAGCAATGGTCACAGGCAGTGTTGCATAACTCACTGTTTTTGCCACAGCTGTCAGTCAGACGTACAACCTTACTATCTCCACTGGTTGCTTTCTGTTTAATTAACAACAGCAGTACAGACAAAGGCCTCTTATCTCAGCACAATACAGAGAGAGACCCTGACAGTCAAAGACCTGCTGACTCACCTGTTCCATTAAGTTGCCTCCCATCTGCCTTGCGCCATGTCAGGTCTGGGATGGGGACTCCAATGGTCCCACAGCGCAGCAGCACATTGTTCCCAACAGCGCTCCGGACTCGTGCCACAGCTGTGTGTATACGTGGGAGCTGGCAGCGCCGAAGCTCTGCGTCACTGAACAAAACCCCGGATACACTCTCTGGAGCTGAACACCGGAGCCTTGTGTCAATGAACGCCACCGAGAGAGTGGGAGACTTCTGGAACTGGATCAGGTCGTAGAGCCGACAGTCACACACCCAGGGGTTGTCGTGGAGACCTGAGGGTGAGGGTAAAAGTGAGGCTACAAGGAAGACGAGCGTCCAGCTGTGAGCAAAGTGATAGAGCAGCCTGCAGATGGCCGGTGTGGATGTTAGCATGCTAATCCTGTAAGAGGATTAACATTTAATTCATAAACTACAATGGCAATGATGATGATGATGATGATGATGACGACGACGACGACGATGATGATGATGATGATGATGATGATGATGATGATGATGATGATGGTGGTGTGATCAAGGACAGGTTAGCCATCCTTTCAACCTTCTCTCCTGACTTTTCTGCACATGAGAATAGGTGAAACACAGAAAATGAGCGATGAACTTTGTATTTCACACACACACACACACACACTGACATGACAGTATGTGTCAGCAATTATTACTAATTACTAATTTGTTTTATTATAATGCTATTTATTATTTTCATTTAAACAAGCTTCCAGTTATGGTTGACCACAGAGTCATAATTATTTACAAAGACATTAATAATCTGCTTACAATTACAAAATAGAATATCGTGTATGTAAACGACTTTAAAATAGTTTTTTAAATAAAGTGTTCCTTTGGTCTTTAATGCAGAATGTGTTACATGGTTTCCAAAGCACCTCTTCAAATATTAATGGGGAATTGTTTTGATTAACTACTACCGACCATCTCCAACCATACATCAAACGATGCGTTGCTTAGCAACTGCTTTTTTCAGCTTCCATTCAAGATTGATTAATTAATTAACACTCTTCATTACGCACAGTGTTAAAAGCTATACCTTTCGTATTTTTGATTGAGACATGCATCCTGACTGAAGTCCTTACCAAGTATCATCTTGGAGCTCTCTGGCCCTTGAACAGGTTTTGCTACCAGCCAGGTGGACAGCACCTCTGCCGGCAGGGTCAGCAGGCTGTTGCTGGACAGATCCAGGTAGGTGAGGTTCTTGATGTAATAGGTGGCCTCCGCTGGCAGCGAGGTGAGCTGGTTGTTGTGCAAATCTAGAAGTCTGAGACTGGGCATGTCCATCAGAGAGTCCCAGGGAAAGGCGGTGAGGGCATTCCCGTCCAGACGAAGCTCCTCCAAGTTGAGCAGTCCCCGGAAACTGTCCGGGCTCAAGGCGGAGAGCGTGTTGAAAGACATCCACAGGAATTCCAGACTGGAGAGGTAGATGAAGGCTTCGCTCGGTATCCGCTGGATGGCTGTCTTCTCAATGCGCAGTTTGGACGTGTCAACAGGAAACCCGACAGGCACAAGAGATATCTCGGGATCATTGCAGATCACACTCCTAAAAGAGACACAGACATTTGTTAATTAGTGTGCACTTCCAGATAACCCTTCAAAAAGTTTACATTTAATGACATGTGAACATTACAAAGTAAATGAAAATAAAAAGTTTGGAGACTTGAATTGAAGTCTAAAATTAAATAATGTTAAAATATAGGGGATATAACAGTGTTATGTTCACTAGCAAATACATGTGTGGCTAATCAATCTGGAAAAAAATATTTCCAAAGCCATCCGAACTCTCAAAAAAACGCATAGATAGGAAGGTTGAAATTGCCTTTCAGAGATAATCCTGCATTAAATAAAATTGGACTGACATGCACTCCCTGAATTATCTTTGGAACACGTGTTCAGCTCTTTGCAAGCATCTGTCCTCATATGAGTATACCTGTGCATTTAAAAGATGTGTCTGTGCGCAGAACAATTGCTTTTGTGTGTTTTTGATTTAAAATCATTTGCATTTGGACATCCTTACCTGGCCTTTGATCCATCACTCAGGTTGTGGTAAAAACAGCTGCACTGCGACGGGCAGGAGCTCACTGGGGATAAAAGCTCACCTGTGCCCAAGTAAAGCCCCAGGAGCAGGACGAGGAACATTTTGGCCCTATTTTACGCATACGCAGTTTACCTACATGCGCCCAGTTTGCGCCCACTGAAGTTGAACAGACTGGACTTTTTTTCTCTCATTTACAGGAATATCATCCGCATCGCTTTGTCCCACCGCTTCGCTGTCCCATAGTGATCCGACTGCTATGAGTCCCGAGATAAAAAGGATAGACAAGGATTAGCGAAAGGACTGGCGTTCTTTTCATTTGGATGCGTATTCCATCCCTGAATCCGATAGGCTGCGCAGAGACGTCCCTATTTATTATCACAGAAACATAAACACTTCCGAAATGGTCATAATCCACTGTGATGTTTGGATTTTTTTATTTCCCTCCAATGTAGTTTGTTCATTTGAGCCCTGCCGTGACTGTTAATCTGTAAATGGGCAGCGCTGTGTTTTACCACAAGGTGGCCCCTATAGAACACAGCCTGTGGCTCCTACCTTGGAGCTTTTACACTCAACAGATGCTCACTCAACATTGTCTAAATATATTCATCCTTTTTTCTTATTCAGGGTCTTCTCATATTGTAATAACATGACAACTAACACCACTTCCGTCAGAAGGCAGATATAGATACTTTGATTTATCTTAACAGTGATTTTACAGTAATATTTTCATGCAAAGTAGGACCCTGCTACTGGTGCCTGAATTACTGATGAGAAATTAGAAAAAGTTTCACCACACAGTGTCCCTCATCACAGAAGAACATATTGCACCTTCAACACATTTTTGTACCTGCACATAAATGACGCAGTAGTAAAATGAAGTCTACTTGATTTAAGTGTTTTATTAACTATTTTTTTAAGAGGTGATAATTGTTTTGTATTAAGAATGAACTTAGTAACGTATGGTATTACATTCCTGGCATTAAAGATCAACCAAACCACAACTAAATGTACTTGACTGTATTGAGAAACCATTAAGATGCCCTTACATTTAGGTACAACTGTTTTCGTACTAATAAAAACTTATATAATACTACTTAAAATAGTTTATTCCAGCTTTATTTTTCTTGTTTTACACTTATTTTCTTTGAAATATTCTTGTTTTACATTCCTGTTATTTGAGGTGTTCTTGGAAATCATTCCAATATCATCAAAATATATTTTAAATGTATTATTCATACATTGGTACTTTATCATATATATGATGGTATCTTATATATTATAAGTATTTTATTAGTTATAGTTCATTTTTTACCTGGGAATTCAGTAACAGGAAACTTTTTTCTAAATTAACTTAATGTGTTAAAAAAGACAAAAATAGAAAGGAATGTATGTTAAATCCGATTGAAGGAAAGAAACTCACAGATGCCTTAAGATTTCCCCTTTAGTAACGGATCTTATAGTCCTACGAGAGAATAATACCTCCAACTGTAAAAGATTTTATTTCGCAATGTTGCTAAATACGGCATAAGTTATTTGGCATAAGATCTGTGTTCCCCTGGTATTTCTTCACACTGGGAATTCAGTGTTACACTTTGTTAGCACTGTGTGCCAACTCTGTCCGTAAGAGATGACGAAACCCTGGCTTTTATTATGTGCAAACAGCTTGGCAGCAAGAACCCACTTTACATCCAATTGTTATTTACTACAGACCCAGGTCAAAGGCTTTACAACAACAAAGGATGATAGAGATGAATAAATCCTATCGATTGGTAATGATATATCAAAATAAATAGTAAGAGTGTGCCTTGATATTTGGCCTACATTTAAGATTGATCACACTCTTTAACCTCTTATACGTTATATCCCTTTGAGTCACAGGTCAGTCCTTATGAAGGGTTTTACAATGGTGCATGTCTGTACTGAGGCTGAAGGTGTTGAGCAATCATGCTCGAAACATTCCATATTGCACTGCAAGTAGTTAATCTCATTTGCTGAAGCCAATGAATAAAGCCACCCTTTACATCGTATGAACCAGAAGACTGGATTTAGTTTGAGCTGCAATGTCATTCTTAGTGTGCAACAATTCTAAAAAGAACCCATAAGAAGCATTTGAATGAATGGGATTTTGGAACATTGATGTATCATTTAATATCAGTCCTTAATAAATAAAGTAAGAGTTGTCAAAATAGACATTTTGAATTTGCTTAAGTGGTGCACGACCACTTTCAGCAGAAAAGGACATGAACAAAACATCCAAATACTATTGCATTTACTTTTTTTGTTTCAGCAATTCTTTACCATTTTATTTTAATTTAATATTACATTTTATGACGTTTTATTTTTAGTGTGACCATTTAAAATAGCACATGTCAACTAAAAATAGCAAACTGCATTCATGTGACCCTTAAACTCATGTTGGGGTCAACTAAGGGCATATGGATTGTGGGAGCTTTTGTTGGGATATAAAGTGTCCAAAAATGTATATATATATATATATTTATGTAAAATGGACCTTGACCATTATGCATTTCCATATGATTAAGGACTTTTCACACATTTTCTTATATATTTCCAAGATTTTTGATCTTATAATCCTGGGACTGAAACATTTTGAGCAACACAAACTCATGATAGTGTCCCCTACATCCTTATGGCCTGAAAAGCTTACAATGGTGTTGCAATGGAGCATGACAAATCCATTGAAGCCTGAGGATGATGGCTGGATGTCATGTCATTCACATACATCTGAATGGGAACGAAGCCTTTTATTTTACGTCACATGTTTTTATCTTATCGCCCAGGAAACTCTTTCTGTTGACACATGTTGTGTCTTGAGTTAAAAAAGGACAATTACTTTGGTCATCTATTTTTGTAAGGCTGATGCCATGTTGGTTTAATCTATTGAGGTCAGTCTGTCTATCAAAAGTTGTATTCCCTAAAAAAAACTAAAAGATGTCCACAAAACCACGGCCTACGTGTCCAATTGTATATCCACTAGTCCCTGTGAGAGTCCTGCCATATGGGACAAAGGATTAATAAAGATACAGATCAACAGTACTTACATGGATCCTCTGTGTGGTCTCAATAATTACTTTGTGTCATCAATCAGGGAATGGAGAATTACTAACCTATAATGAATTAAACTACATCACATACATTATATTAAATACAAACTGAATGTGCTTGAAATTTTAAGGCAAAATGAATTAAACACAATCTCTAGCAAGAACATGGAAGTCTGAAAAATAATGGGGTTATTTGTGTTATTTCTTAGTGGAGATAACCGTTTGTGATTGGAGGGTTTTGTTATCTTCCTTATTGTGGGTGTAGCTTTGATTGGCAGGGGCTGGGGCTCTGCAGGCACCTGTTGTGTCTCCTTAAAGCGACGCAGATCTGTGGTCTGCATCAAACGCGTCGTCAGTCCTTTGACATCAGCAGCGGCTGCATCCTCACCGGGACGCTAGGACACAAAGGCTTGTTGTGTAACTAATTGAGGGCTTTACTATTGCGGTGGGCAAATACGCATTAAGGGTTGCGGTGTGTGTGGTTATGTTCATTAAGACATTCCAGCACGGATTGGGACGAAAGCGAGTGGGGGGCTTTACATAATAAAGTGCATGCTTTTCACGTGAAATGCCCCTTTAAAAACAGGCTCCTTCAGCCAAACAGAAGCACATCGTAAACCACCGGGTTGGAAGGAGGGAAAAGTCTGTGACAGCTGCACTCGTGTTAATTCGGCTTCAGGATGGTCTCGTCTCGGCCTTTACCGGAGGGCTTCTCCGACTTTGATGTGTTCTCTCTGGGAACCATGCTGCTGGTGGAGGGTGAGTAATTTTGTTTTGTGCCGGAATTGAGCCAACATACTGCGAGCCTGCTCCCGCTGTGAGGCATTAACCTATGAAAGGACCTGACGCCACCCGGGCACTGATATTATAGTGTTGTGGTAGGCAGGGTCTGTTTTTCACTAAACTCGCAAATTAATTCACGTATAGTCTGTAAACAAAGACCTGACTGCGATGTTTACAAGCAGCAGCATGTTTATGAAATGTCACGGTGCTGCATGTTACGCAGAAAGCACCTCTGTGTCTGCGCGCACTGATATCCATCCATCGTCACACACTGCCTTCATTCATGATTGTTTATTTATGTTTTCCCAAAGGCATGCTGGGCTTCCTTCTAAATGCGGTGACAATCGTTGCTTTCCTGAAAGTGAGAGAGCTCAGGACCCCCAGCAATTTCCTTGTGTTCAGTTTAGCGATGGCTGATATTGGCATATCTATGAACGCCAGCATCGCCGCTTTCTCCAGCTTCCTGAGGTGAGTGATGTAACCGCCCCTTTCATAACAGATGCCAAGGTCTGAGTCAATGTAGCCAAATGAAATGTAATGTGCATATAATACCTGGCAAGCTACCCACAATATGATTAATGTATACTATCTGTAAAATCGATACAGGGAGGAACAATCAGGGGTGTAAAGTGGAGGGGGATTTTCAAACTGGAAGAATGAGATTAGATGCTGCTCTCAGTGTCTATGGGTCTAAGGATAATAACAACTATTATTTGTATATATATTATTTGTGTAAAGACCCATAGTCTGAAATTAATACATTAACTGCTTTCATAAATCATCGCTTCTATGAATGTCTGTGTTCATATTGTATCTACATTTGACAAATAATTGTTTTGACTAATTAATTAATCACTTTCCTCTGTCTCCAGGTACTGGCCTTATGGCTCTGAGGGATGCCAGACTCACGGTTTCCATGGCTTCATTACAGCTCTCGCCAGCATCCACTTCATGGCCGCCATCGCCTGGGACAGATACCACCAGTACTGCACCAGTAGGTCAACATCTGCTATGTCCCCTGCCCTGAAATACACAATTACAGCCAATGGCGTTCTTCTTTTCCTCCCCCCCTGAAGCACAGGCTCTCACACAAAAACACACACAGTCACACGCACACACTCACATGCACACGACATCCAAGTACACTGAGCGGGTTATTGTTCTTGGTCTCCAGCTGATCTTAAGACCTCCTGCTATTTTGAAGAGGCCAGCTGCCAGTTGTCTTTTAATTTGCCACAGGCCGTTCTTGCACCCTGTTGGAATAATGAACAAATAGACTTTTAAAATACAAACATTGTTATAACAGATAATAACATAGTGTTAAAACTGCGACCTGGAAGGCTTGATGTTGAGAAGAAAGTCATATATTTTCATGGTGATACATTAAAAAAACTGCTCTCTTGCTATTTTTGAGTCATCGTTAGTTGCAGAATAGAAGTGGAAGAGAATGTTGCCCAGCA